TCACTATATCCTTCCAATACAGCGGGAAATCCATTATATAATATACCATAATTCATGGTACCTCTCAGATATCTCAAGACTCTCACCAGAGCCTCCTAGTGTTTACTGCCTGGACAGTGGGTATATCTGCTCAATCTGCCTATAGCATAAGCTATATCAGGCCTAGTAAAGTTCATCAAATGCAACAGACTCTCAATAATCTTTGCATACTCAGATTGAGCAACTGGGTTACTCTTGTGCTTTTTTAATTGCACACTTGAATCATAAGGAGTACTCAGAGGAGCATCTTCAAGATGTCCAAACTTTTTGAGAATTTTCTCAACATAATGTTCTTGGGAAAGTAAGATTCCATTTTCATTCCTTATGATTTTTACACCCAAGATTACCTTGGCTTCACTTATATCTTTCATGTCAAAATTTGAAGAAAGAAAATTTTTTGTTTCATTAACAACATACATACTAGAGCCAAAAATTAGTATATCATCCGCATACAAGTATATAATCACACAATCATTATTCACAAGCTTTGTATAAACACACCTTTCTACTTCAACAGTAAAAAATCCACCAGTTGTTAGAACTTGATCAAGTTTCTCATGCCATTGCTTAGGCGCTTGTTTTAAGCCATACAAAGACTTTACAAGTTTACAAACTTTATTTTCTTGCCCAGGAATTACACATCCTTCAGGCTGTACCATGTAAATTTCTTCTTCCAAATCACCATTCAAAAAAGCGGTTTTAACATCCATTTGGTGAACAAAAAGTTTGTAAATTGAAGCCAAAGCAATAAGAATTCTTATAGAAGAGATTCTAGTCACAGGAGAAAATGTGTCAAAATAATCTATATTTTCTTTTTGAGTAAAACCCTTGACTACAAGCCGTGCTTTATAATTATCAATTGACCCGTTTGGAAAATACTTTTTCTTAAAAATCCATTTACACCTAATAGCCTTAGCTCCTTGGGGCAAATATGATAAAACTCAAGTTTTATTTTTCCTTAAAGAATCAATTTCCATTTCAATTGCTTCTTTCAAAAATTTGGCATCAGGAGAAGAAATAGCTTCATAAAAATTTAACGGTTCATCTTATATTAGATAAATGTAAAAATCATCTCCAAAACTTGTTTCTTTTCTTTGCCTTTTACTTCTCCTTAAAACCAAATCCTCATTTAAGTTTTGTTCAAACTCTGAATCCTCAACAGGTTTAGAAACATGCTTAATTTTTAAGGGAAAAATATGTTCAAAAAATTCAGTATCCTTAGTCTCTACAATTGTATTTTGTTCTAAAATATCACTTTTTAAAACTAAAAAATGATATGCTGCACTTTGTTTAGTATACCCAATAAACATACAATCAAAAGTTTTAGAACCAATTTTTCTCTTTTTAGGATCAGGTAATAAAACTTTTGCAAGACATCCCCATACTTTTAAATATTTTAAATTTGGGGTAAACCCTTTCCATAACTCATAAGGTGTTTTCTTTATTTTCTTATGAGGTATCCTATTTTGTAAAAAACATGCAGACAAAATAGCTTCACCCCACAAGTTATCAAGGGCAGAAGAACTCACAAGCAAAGCATTCATCATTTCTTTTAATGTTCTATTTTTTTCTTTCTGCAACCCCATTAGACTCAGGAGAATAGGGAGGTGTTATCTCATGTATAATTCCTTCTTTTTCACAAAAATCATTTAACAAAACATATTCTCCTCCTCTATCCGATCTAACCCTTTTAATTCTTTTATTTAATTGATTCTCATATAAAAGAAATTTTTCAAAAGCTTCATCTTTGTTTCTTAACAAGTATACTTTAGTATATCTTGAAAAATCATCAATAAAAGTGATATAATATTTTTTACCACCTCTAGTCATGGTTTGTTTTAAGTCACCTAAATCTGTGTGAATTAAAGATAGTAATTCAGATTCTCTTTGACTAGAAAAATGAGGTTTTTTACTTTGTTTAGTTTCTGCACATACTTCACATTTTTTAAAATCATTGTTTTTAATTTCAGAAAGTAGTTCAAGTTGTCGTATCCTATTTATACAACCTTTACTAGCGTGACCTAGTCTAGCATGCCACAGATCAAAGGAATCAACTATATAAACAGGCATATACTCAGAAGATTTAGTCTTATTCATTTCATCAACATTCAAAACAAACAATCCCTGATTACAATACCCTTTGCCTACAAACACATTATTTTTTATCATTACAATCTTGTCAGATTCAAATGACACTTTAACCCCAGCTTTCCCTAAAAGAGCAACTGATACTAAGTTAGCTCTAACTTCAGGCACATGTAGAACATCGTTCAGAGCCAGAGTCTTTCCTGATATGAGCTTTAAGACTACTTTTCCTTTTCCTTGAACTTTAGCAGTTCAGGAATCAGCAAGGTAAATATGGTCTTCCCTTTCCTTTACAGGATTATAAGTAGTAAACATCTCTTGGCTAGCACATATGTGCCTGGTAGCCCTGGAGTCTACCACCCATTTCTTCACATCAGAAATCAAGAGAGCTTGTGATACCACTGCAGCAATGATGTCATCATCACTGCCACCATCTCGTTGCACCAAATTTACATTTGGCTTCCAAGGCTTATCACAGTTTGCTCTCTTCTTACACTGTGCTGCATAGTGTCCTGGTTTACCACAGACAAAACAGTCTCCTCTCTTTTTGAAAGAGGGGTTAGAAGCATTGGGTTTGTAATTAGTTTTTCTATTCTTCTTGTCTTTAGTTTTAGAATCATACCTCTTGTTTTGAGGCTTTATCTCTACCAGGTTGGCTTTGGATGTCATTTCTCTGGTTCGAGCTGCACGTATTGCCTTGCGGTTGGTATCTTCGATGATGATGTGAGTGATCAAGTCAGTCAAGGACAGCTGCTTCTGTTTGTGTTTCAACTGCTGTTTGTAGTCAGACCATGATTCTGGCAGCTTCTCAATCAGTATCCCAGCAACAAACTCATCTGGAAGGTTGATATTTTCAGCACGAAGCTCCTCCAGCAGCTTATGATATTCGTTGATTTGCTCCTTGACATCCTTGTTCTCGGTCATCTCCTATTTGTAGTAGTTGCCCACAATGAATTTTTATTTGCCGGCATCCTCAACAGTGTACTTTGTCACCAGGGACTCCCATATCTTACAAGCTTCCTTGTAGACATAGTAGACATTGAACAAATCATTAGATAAAGTGCTACTGATAGTGTGTTGGCATACCTTGTTTGCATGAGTCCATGCAACTCTCTGGGCTTGATCAGTATCAGCAGGAGGCTCGGATTGAGCAAGAGCAGTGGCCACACCATGCATGTCAAGAACAATGAAGACACGTTCTTGCTAGTGTTTGAAGTTCCGGCCATCAAAGACTTCTATCTTTGATCTTTGATATGTCAGGGAACGGCCTCGGTAGGGGAATGGCAACAGTAGCAGGGACGAATTGACCTCCAGCCGAACCATTGGGCACACCTTCGGGAGTGACATTCTCAGCACCGTTGGTTGCCACTGGGCACACCTTCGGGAGTGCCCTGAGTTGGCCTGTCTCATGTGCGCGAGGCCACTTCTCTCCCAAGCCCATTTTACTAGCCCACTTCATTTTTTAGTATATATACACTAGAAGATTCTTTCTTTTAGTCAATGTAGGACTTTGACACACACTTTTGACACACATACAACAGGATAGGCAATCCGAAAGGTAACCCATAACTCATCCCGCTTGTTTAAAACAAACATTGGCTAGCCTATTAATTTAACTTGCTAGTTATTTTTTCTTAAAGCCCGCACGCTTTCACTAGGTACAGGTGAGCCCACAAGTTGCGAGTTATTTGCTCACTCCTTGACTTTTGTATTTTGTTGAGCTTATAGGTTCTAACCACGTTTCAGGGGAAAACAAAAAGGAAACAAAAATACTCGCAGTGCCTGGGTATTTATTTCACACTTCAGTCTTGTCACTCTCTTGTTTTGTTTTCCTGCCTTTTTATAGAAATGCATTGAAAAGGTATTCGTATTAGATTCACTGAAAATAAATTAATGGAGTTGATTGTACAGGACTCTGGTCTTCCATACGCTCCATTCCCATCTATATATTCGCACATCAATATGAATTGATTGTATATAAGTAGATCAACTTTTGGGAGAATCTTACTTAACGGCTCTAAAACATAAAAGTTTACACTGCAAGCCTAATAAAAATATGAAAACCCCCTGTAAGCCTGACTGTCTTTGTTATAAATTTTGTTGTGGACGAAACATGTGATTACCCTTGTCTTAAAATTATGTTTATATATATATAATATAATATTCATAAATTTTTAACATAATATTTATTAATACACAATATATTTGGTGGACATGATTTGATTTGAAATGAAATATACAAACAAGCAAATAATAAGTAACATAATGTCTATTAATTCTCAAATAATGAATATATGTAGACATATAATGTTTATATAATATAAAGACTATAATAAACAACATACTTTTATTAAAATAATATTTTTTAAGTTAATGAATTTTTTTATTCAAAACAAAATTTGCAAAAAAAACTTTCAAGTTTACAGTGCGTTTTCAAATTCTTTTAAGTCTGTAGTATAAATTTTTGTGTTTTGGGAGGCATCTGGGGAGATTCTCTTTTAACTTTTTTAAAAATGAATATGTTAAACTTTAGTCCGGCCTGACATATTTTACGAGCATCACACATTTAAAAAGAGAAAAGTAATTTTACGCACTCAACCCAGGAATATAATCAGGCAGCTCTTCACGTGGAGACGATGTCGACACGAAATAATGTACGTATCTGACTCTCAGACCAATTCAAGCACTAGGATAAGAGAAAGGAATCCCAGAGCTATTTTTCTCCTTGAAAAGAGCCGAGAAAAGGCATGTTATCAGCTCGGACAAAGTAAGTACTTTCACATCTTCGGTAAATAATGCCCTTTCTATTTTCTCAAAAAAAAAAAAAATGATTGGCTTTGCTACTTGCCAGCACGCTGCGAAAGAAGCAAAGTGCACAGTCTTTTAAAAAATATCAAGCAGGAATAAAATTTTCCATCCAACGATGCGACTTCACAAAGTATACCATCGCCTGTCTCTTCTCCACCTCTCCCCAATCTCTCCCCCTTCCAATCCCTGTCTTCTTCCTCTAATTCCTCCACACTCATCACGACTCAGATTTCCTCGCAGAATCACCGGTAATTTTACTAGTATCACTTTAATGGGTTGCTCCCGGTTTCGCAATATTGCTCCTCTCAGTGATATGGTCACTGAAGATGGTGGGGGCGGAAACTCCAATGGTTCTATTTCATCCTCCACCGCTACCTTTGATTACGAAGGTGAGCTGAAAATGTTTTTTTTTATTGTTTTCTCACTGTTTTTATGATGTTTTGATCGCCCAATTTCAGAAAATTGCTGTATTGTTTGGCTTTCCAAACACTAAATTTGTTAATTTCATGCATATTGATGTCAAAAGATCGCAAAGAGTACTACTTTTGCATTAATTCACTCATCTCTCCGAAATTGTGTGCATATGAAGTATGTCCTGTTTCTGTTATTGAAATGCTGGAGCTGTAATCAGAAAAATCAATTTCACTACTGTACTTTGATGACTAAATTGAATATCCTTTTCTGTCTCAATGTATTATTTTGTGAAGTGGCAATATTGTTCTATGTAAATAGTCACATGTATCTTCTGTGGTTAGCCTTGCTTCGGGTACATTTAATGTTTTGAGCTTAGTATTGAATATGAATACAGTTCCTTAAATTCTCAATCGCGTGCATGTTCCTATTTATATCATGATAACGTCTCTAAATGCTGGCAACTATGTTGATTGGTTTTTATTAGAAGAGTCAACTGTTGGAGTAGCATATCGTGTTCCTCCACCTGAGATCAAGGATATTGTGGATGCTCCACCGGTGCCTGCTTTGTCATTTTCTCCACATAGAGACAAAATTCTATTTCTCAAGCGAAGATCTTTACCACCTCTGGCAGAATTAGCAAGACCAGAGGAAAAGTTGGCCGGTATACGCATTGATGGACACTGCAATACTAGGAGTCGCATGTCATTTTACACTGGCATAGGAATCCATCAAATTCTTCCTGACAACACCTTAGGGCCAGAGTTAGAAGTTCATGGTGTCCCTGATGGTGCCAAGATCAATTTTGTTTCATGGTCTCCTGATGGCCAGCATTTATCCTTTAGCATTCGGGGGAATGGGGAGGACAATGAAAGTAGTAGGCTCAGGGTATGGATTGCTGATGTTGAAACAGGGAAAGCAAGACCTTTATTTCAGTCACCTGACATATATTTAAATGCAGTTTTTGACAATTATGTATGGGTAGATAACTCTAGACTGTTAGTTTGCACTATTCCATTATCTCGTGGAGCTCCACCAAGGAAGCCTTTGGTCCCTTTTGGCCCTAAAATTCAGTCTAATGAAGAGAAAAATGTTATTCAAGTGAGAACATTTCAGGATTTGCTGAAGGATGAATATGATGAAGATTTGTTTGACTACTTTGCAACTTCACAGCTGATTTTAGCTTCCCTGGATGGTACAACAAGTGATATTGGCCCACCAGCTGTTTATACTTCAATGGACCCATCCCCAGATCATAAATACATTTTGATTAGTTCAATTCATAGGCCATACTCTTTCACTGTACCTTGCGGAAGATTTCCAAAGAAGGTAGATTTATGGAGTGCAGATGGAAAATTTGTCAGGCAACTCTGTGACTTACCCCTGGCTGAAGACATCCCAATTGCTTTCAACAGTGTGCGGAAGGGGATGCGGTCCATTAACTGGAGAGCTGATAAGCCATCCACGCTTTACTGGTAGACATCTGAGTTTTTTTGTTATATTTTCGGGTAGGGCGTGAAGATTAGGACCATTACAATTACTGGATTGAATTTTACTCAAATGACATGCACTTTTCTGATAAATACCATTCAATCAGTATTTGGAATTTCCTGAATTATTTTTTCTCAAAATTTTTAATTGTTGAAAAACAATTATCCCGAGAGTGCTTTCTTCAGTATGGAAAGTTCATAATGCATGGAGATGCCCAAGGAAAAAGAAGAAGATATAAGGGATGAACTTTCAACAAATAAATTTTTAGTGGATAGTTCCTTGGCTTGTTGCTATTTGCAATTCTCTTGGACCTCTGTTCGCTGCTAAATTTACTCTATTCAGATGTACCTTGCTGATTGTTTTCCCCCTTTACATACATTTATTGGTTTCAAGTGCAACCATAGGGCATAAAAAAAAAAAAAATCAAAATGTGTTTTTGACTATTTTGTAATTCTATTGGACTTCTTTGGTTTTTTTTCCTAAAAAAAAAATTGGTATGTGATTTCCCTTTTTGTATAAATTATTTCATTTGAGGCCTCTAGGGTAGAAACTCAAGATGGAGGTGATGCAAAGGTGGAGGTTTCTCCACGAGATGTAATTTACACACAACCTGCTGAGACCCTGGAGGGTGAGCAGCCAGTTATACTGCACAAACTTGATCTCCGCTATGGGTATGTGTATGGCCTACATTGACGACTTCTCTTTATTGCTATCTCCATGTCTGTGCCATCATATTGACATTATTAGACCACTTCCCCAGTCATTCATCTGATTAGCATTTCATGTATGCTACCAAGGGCTATACTTGACCTTATTTTTAGGGCAAGTATTGACCATTTTTGAATTACATGTAATTCACTTGTTTATGTATATGCTAGATTTTTATGACCAAGATAAGTTTAGCTTGCACTTTCCTATCTGAACTATAAACTTTTCGGCAAAGAATGCGTGTTCATTAATATGGGCACTTGTGTCTATCACATGTCTGCAGCAGTTGATAAGAAAGTTCCTTACCATGTTCATGGTTAACTTATCAGCCTCTCTTGTCTTGATCAAGCAACTTGTGTTGAGGAAAACCTAAAATAGTGGTTTATGTACACTTTTTTATCTCTACAGTGGGATTTCATGGTGTGATGATTCACTGGCGTTGGTATATGAATCATGGTATAAAACACGACGAACAAGAACATGGGTAATCTCTCCTGGGTATGATGATGTGAATTCCCGCATCCTATTTGATAGATCTTCAGAAGATGTCTACTCTGATCCTGGCTCTCCCATGCTGCGGAGAACTAAAGCTGGGACATATGTTATTGCCAATGTAAAAAAAGAGAGTGATGAAGGAAGATATGTTTTGCTAAATGGAATTGGTGCTACGCCAGACGGGAACATCCCATTCCTTGATCTGTTTGAAATGTAAGTGTCTTACATCACTTGTTTCCTGTATGTGCCTTTGGTTTCTTAGATGTTGTGGTCTGAACCAAAACCTTACAGAAATACAGGTAGCAAAGAACGAATCTGGGAGAGTGATAAAGAAAAGTATTATGAGACTGTTGTTGCTCTAATGTCTGATCAGGAAGAAGGGGATTTGCATCTAGATCAACTTAAAATACTGACTTCTAAAGAGTCAAAAACTGAGAACACCCAATATTACATGGTCACCTGGCCAGATAAAAAGGCATATCAGATTACAAATTTCCCTCATCCATATCCTCAGCTTGCATCATTGCAAAAAGAGATGATTAGATATCAAAGAAAGGATGGAGTTCAACTTACAGCTACATTATATCTTCCACCAGGATACAATCCACCAACAGATGGCCCTTTGCCATGTCTGGTTTGGTCGTACCCAGGGGAATTTAAAAGCAAAGATGCTGCAGGACAAGTTCGTGGCTCTCCTAATGAATTTGCTGGGATAGGTCCTACATCAGCCCTTCTCTGGCTGGCAAGAAGGTGTGGATTGTCTTTTCCTATTCTTTTTTTGGTCTAATTCTTTCTAATTCAGTGTTATTTTCTCTTATTTGAAAGTGAATTGTGTCATGAGCTGGATTTTTCTTTGATCACTTTAAATCTTGCAGATTTGTCATTCTATCCGGACCTACTATTCCTATTATTGGTGAGGGCGATGTGGAGGCAAATGATACGTAAGTTGGAAGTGTATTATTATTACCAAGGGATGTTTACCCCATATTTCTCACCAACATGTTCTTAAGGACCATGAGTGAACTTCTCAGTGAGGATCGATGCCTTGAGTGCTGCTGTCATTGGTCTTGTCCTCATTTTCTTTATTCCATAAATTTGTAGTTTCAAAATATTTGAATTCTCATGTATTTCTTTGTGATTTGTAAAGCCATAGAGTTATATCTGATTATAAACTCTGTATTAATCAATCAGGTATGTAGAACAATTAGTTGCAAGTGCTGAGGCTGCTGTGGATGAAGTTATCCGGCGGGGGGTATGCTTTATTCTTAATGTAGTATCTACCCATTTCATATATGATAAAAATTAAACCTATTCATGTTGTTACATCTAGGTAGCTCATCCAAAAAAAATAGCTGTTGGTGGACATTCCTATGGTGCTTTCATGACTGCTAACCTCCTGGCACATGCACCTCATCTCTTCTGCTGTGGGATTGCTCGGTCTGGTGCTTACAACAGAACACTCACTCCCTTTGGTTTTCAGGTAATAATACTGCAAACAATGGGTTGATTTTTGGTTCCAGTGGTTTAGGGGCACATTTGGTTCACATTATTATCAGATCGAGAATGTAATGATTGTTACTATTTCAATGTTTGGTTTAGCTAGGGATGGAATGACATCAATTCCATTCCCCTCATATGTATCCTACACAATATATTTATGAAATGAAATAATAATTATAATGAGTAGAGATAAATAAGGAAAAAAGATGATAAATAGACCCCTAGCCTTAGTGGAACTGTCAATCGATGTCTGCCTTCCTGACAAACTAGAATTTTCATTTCAGTGGGACAGAGACAAGAATCAAATCATAATGTGTGGATCTAGTGTAACAAAAGTACCATGAATTGATGTTTTATATTATGATCCTGTGTTGCTTTAATATTCTCTTACACTTTTACCGTACTATTCTTTGTAGAAGTTATAGGGTTAAGTCTTATTTATACTGCCTTTCCCTTTGTGTAGAATGAAGACAGAACTCTTTGGGAGGCCACTAATACTTATGTAGAGATGAGTCCTTTCATGTCGGCTAATAAAATTAAGAAGCCCATCTTGCTTATGCATGGGGAAGAAGATAATAATCCAGGAACATTAACCATGCAGGTAAGATAGCAACTGTTATCAATCAGCCTTCCTAACAAGTAGCCTGTTATTAGATCTTTTGATAGAAACAATCCCTTCCCTGTGGGCTGTCCAACTAATTTGTTCATTTCCGACTCGTATGCAGTCAGATAGGTTTTTTAATGCTCTGAAGGGCCATGGTGCTCTATGTCGACTTGTGATTCTGCCTTATGAAAGCCATGGTTATGCTGCCAGAGAAAGCATCATGCATGTCCTCTGGGAAACAGATAGATGGCTGCATAAGCACTGTGTATCGAACAGTTCTCATGTAGATGAAGATCATGGCTCTGGAACAGTCGAACAGAATGCTGGCAAAGGAAATGAAGATTCTGAAAGCAAAGTGGTCGGTCCCACTGGAGGGGGTAGCACGGAAGCATCTGATCTCAAGTATGAAGGACTCCACTCCATGCCAAGGTCATCATTGTGGTAATCTCTTTGGCCTCGTTAGTATATGTACGTGTGTGTGTGTGTGTAAAGTAATTAAGCGCCATTAATTTCAGCTTGTGACTTGTGAGTTAAATATATCTTGATATGATAACTTTGCTATCAGTAAATTACTCAACAGGCCTGGACATTCTCGCAACCTTATTATTTAGAGTCCAAACTAGATCCATGTTCAATGAAGATATCCTGGACAATAATAGAACAAAATTTAGATTATGCTTAGTGCGCTAATTTTCACGATGTGCTTTTCATGATGTGGAAGAGATGGCTAATCTTTGGCTGCCAAGGTGATGCATTGGAATGATACAAGGATAAGACCGAGCAACAAGATGCCACACCAGTCATTGAGTATGCAGCAGGATAGACTTGTGACAGAGGCAGACATTGCGAGTATGAGTGTGTAATTGCGCTCCATCACCATTAATCAGGCAGTCGCCTGAAACCATTCACGGAGGCATAAATTGATGGTGTGGTGGATTCGCCAGGATTTACCCCCATCAGATTTTTTTTTTTGGCAAAGTAATTTAAATGTTTTAGGAATAACTGAACTTTTATTCCTCCATTTATTCCGAGGGAAGTGATTGGAAGTGGCCTTGTAAGTCTATATTCTAAGGCTGATCGAGAAGGTTCTATTGTACTAGCGGCTGCCTGGATGTCTTTGTAAAACATTGATCTCGTTTAGTTGACATTAATGTGCCCTGTAGAGATTAAGATCAAAATAAGATTTTGCCTCTCGTTTATGTATGGTTGGCCTTTTTTTCCCCAACTTTTATTCTATTCAAGGGATAAAGTGGTTGTTACATTTGAAGGAATCTACAATCCAGTCAAAAATAAATTGAGTGGTTTTTTTTTTTGGGACCAAAAATGGATTGGCTGACATTCTCAGATTTCTTGAAAATATTAAAATAAAAATTAAAACATTCCGTGGATTGTAGTTATGGATAATAATAAGATGATGCGAAATATGCCAATATCAATGAATTTGGACAGTTATTAACTGCCTGGATTCAGTGCATGGCAGAAGTATTTGGAAGTTTTAACGCGGTAACGCCCTATGGATTTAGTAAATTTTGAAGTTGACTAATTGAATTTTGGTGAATTGATTGGGTAATATTCATCTATTTGATGGTCAGATGGTTTTCACACTGAAGTTTGGAGGTTTCTCCAATTAATGTAATTTTTATAAGCAAGTAATCACGGTTAATTCTTAAAATATTCGTATTGATTTAATAAGAGTTACTCCCTTGGGATCATAATATAAGTAATTGAGTTGTTTAAAATCTTGATTTTTTAAATTTTGTTACATATTTCCAATTGTAACTAAGTGTAATAAATATAACATTTGACTTATTTAAAGTACCTTCATTAATTACTCAATGAAGTAAGAATATAATTAAAAAATATGTATAATACCTCCTCAATTTTTTACATTTTGGACTAAACAAAATTTTTAAAAAAATTGCTTGTATTGAGGATGGGAAGCAGGTCCTAAATATGAAGGTAAATAAATTGCAATTATTGAACTTGGCAGTAAATTCGTTCGTATTAATATTTACAATCAAGATTACAATGTTTTTAAATTTAATTGTCATTTTTTTACCATTGTAACTTTCCTTTTATTTTAATATAATTTGATCATCTTTAAAAAAAATTAATTGTCATTAAATAAATTAATTTATTGAGACATGACCCCTTTTTATAAAGGATGCTCAAAAGGGCAGGCAAACACACAAAAGCCCACATCCATTTTTACTGTTTTCAGAGGGCAAAAGCCAATGCCCTTTTCATGGCATAAAAAATTTATTAGTAAGCAAACGCGGCATTAAACCATCGTGCGCTCTGTAGCAGGGGATGATGTCCAAGTTGAGCGAATGACGACGACAACGGCTGGCAATGGCATTATCATTATTATTATTACTGTCGTTGTTGAAGAAATTAAAGATAATTTCTAACAAAACAGAAAATAAATTGATTGATTTTTTCCAATTTCAAAATTATTTCAGAAATTCTTTAGCTGCATCGCGTCCCATGCGTGGGATTTGTTTTTCTTTTTCATGCGTGGAATTTGTTTATTCATTCAGTTCTCGTTGGTGGATGCGAATTAAAATTAGATAGGTACATCTATTTTATGAAAGTTAAGAAATCAGTCATAGTATTGTTTATATAAGGTAATTTTTTAAATATATTTACAGTAAATAAATGATAGGCAAAGATAGCAAATGTTTTAAAACATAGACAAAACGACACACGTTGTAAGGTGCCAGTGATCTTCTCATTTCCGCGCCAGATTCAGGAGATTTTTCTCTTCCATTTTTGTTCAGTTTTATTTTTATGGCGCTTCTTTAATCTTTATATGGCATGCACTCAAAGAATGGATCTGCTCCCCTCACCCAATTTTACCTTCCAATTTTTTTTTTTTTAATTTTCCCAACGGTCAATGAATTTCTCTGACGTTCCAACAACCCCATTTAAAAATTACTATTTGTTGGAATTTGGTTTTTAGAATCCACCACTTAAATACTACAGCCAATTTCCGTTCTTCGTCGCGTTCAGTCTCACCCTCAAAGCCTTCTCTGTTATTTCTCTGTCTAGCTCCAATGGCTTCCTCGTGGCTCTGCTCTCCCAAATTTCTAGTCTTTCTCGTGCTCCTCTCAGCCGTACCGATCGGCGTAATTATCTCAATGGAGCTAGCAAAGCCCCCAACTCACGTGTACCATTACCGCAGCACGGGGTGGTTAAGAGAGTGCGGCAAGTGGGATGATCAAAATCGGCGCTTCATCGTGACTTTCTTCGAAGGAGGAATCGGTCAGATTCCGGTGACGGGAGTGGAGGGCGAGGTGTTAGAGGAGATACCGATCGTCAAAGACGCTGACCTGACAGGAAACGCATCCCTGGGAATCGTCATCGACCGACCGAGGAATCGGCTGCTGGCAGTTCATGCAGACGCAGTGGGGAATCGGTACGGGGCACTTGCTGCCTACGATTTGTCAACTTGGAAACGATTGTTCCTGACCCAGCTCAGTGGCCCAAGTAAGCTTCGTATTCGTGTCTTTACCCTTTCCATTCCCCAATTCCTCTCCTTCACCTTCAAGGTTTTGACAGATATAGGTACTTAGGCAGCGTCGGAATTGTCGAGGATTAGGACAAATTCATGGTTATTGGGTAAAAACAACTGAGGAATAAGGTTAGAGGATAATGATTAGGTTTATGACCACACTGACAATAAGAAGTAGTCCACTTATTTAACAAAATTGTCACCGGTTTAAAAAAAAAAAAAAAAATCTACATTTGGTAGTGCCGTGCCCTTTGTGAGTAACCAACATTAAATTGTGTTAGCTCGAAGTTTGGTATCCGACCGCTGGTAGTTTACCAGGTTCAGACGTCAATTAATCTTGCTTTAATTTGGAATCATTTCTGCTATATATAGGCTTTTTCGTTGATGAATTTTCGGGAAACAACTTCTAGATGGATACTTGGTTGAATTTGATGATTTATATTGATAATTTTTACTGTTAAAATTTGACCTCAATGGTCCAAAACTGCCGTAAAGAGAGGTGGCGAGAAACCAAGACGAAATCTGAATTTTCGAAGCATTCCATAGTTAGTCTGTTATTATTAGAAATGACGAAAACTTTATTTTGTTGGTCCCATGTGATGTAGACGACGAGAAATCATTACCGGACGATGTTGCAGTGGATGCAGAAGGGAATGCTTATGTAACGGATGCCAAAGCCAGCAAGATCTGGAAGGTTGGGGAGGAAGGGAAGGTTATATCAATCATAAGAAACCCACTGTTCGCTGCAAAGGAATGGTACAAGAACTTGGTTGCGCTGAACGGCATCGTTTATCACCCAGATGGATTCCTGATTGTGATTCACACATTTAGTGGCAACCTGTTGAAGATTGACTTGTCAAGAGGGAAAGAGGAGGTGAAGCTAATAAAGGTAGAGGGAGGGCCACTTAGATTCGGAGACGGGCTAGAACTAGTGTCTCCCACCAAGCTGGTGGTTGCCGGGAATCCTTCAGGAAGACTGGTGGAGAGTTCCGACGGCTGGGAAACAGCTTCTGTGGCGGCAACATTCTGGGGGCTGAAGCACAGGTTGGCCACCGCAGCCACCGTGAAGGACGGCAAGGTCTATCTCAACCATTTGCTCGGGATGGGCTATCCTGCAAGGAAGCATGCTTTCGTGGAGGCACCGTTTTAAACAAAGAAGGGAATAACTGCTATTTGCTTGTACTCCAAACGCCGGAAAACATGTCATGTTTAGCTTTTGGTTGGTGGTATATGGTTAGTGGGCCCGGTGTCCGTTAACCAAATGTGTTGGTGTCCAGGGGAGACCTTTTTTTTTTCCCAAAAAAAAAAATCTTTGCAGGGATTGATCCTTCCATTCTGGTGGGTGAGTTTGCTTGGAATTTCCTTTCTACTATTGTGTGCATTGAATTGTATGCTAGAGCCTTGAGAGCTGAGAGGAATTAAGTTGAATTTGTATTCAACGGAGAATGTTTCTGCCTTTCTGGTTTGTGGATGTTGGAGTGGACGATTATGTGAGTGTGACGTGAGAGTCAAGGAGCGGGGTTTTTTTATGGAGGTGTGGATAAATGGGCCTATGGTTGAGACCCAGTAGGGATGTTGTGGGCTTTGAGGTAACCCGTGCCATATCTTCTCTTTAATAGTAGGGAGTGGGAATTTGGTGAATGCATGCGGTGGGGGACCACTCAGATGCGAGGAGTAGGAGGGTAAAGTTAACATTAATTTTTAAATTACCGTGACATAATAGTAGTGTTTAACATGGACGACAACGAAACAAAACAACGGATATGGAGAAATGATATTTTTTAAATAAGACCACGGACAGGGAAAGAAAAACTAGATTAAGACTGGCGGCCAACTCTCGACACCGTGTGTTACTTTCAGTTTGGGGTGGCTTAGTAAGATAAATCCTTGCGTCCCCAGGCTTTTAAGGAACAAACTCATTTAGTCCTATCTTGCCAGGTACGCAATATGCACCGGCACCAGCGCTGTAGCCTTGTGATTTACTTGTGAGGAGAGGGGTAAAGAATTTAATTAACTTGCAGGTAGAGTCGTAGAGGGAGGCAAAGAATTTTACAGCAACATGCCTGATTAATAATACAATCTCGAGCGTTCACCACTGTATTATTATTATTTATTAGTCTCCCGTCTAGAGAATAAATATGTTCTCTCGCGGCACTTTATTCAGTGTTTGGCCCAAGACAAAAACAAAAACAAAAACAAGAAGAATCCTATGCGTTTCACAGACCTCGTCGTTTTTGAGCGGAAAGCCAATTCTAGAAATGCTTGTAAAATCAAAACTTTATTTTCACTTGAAAGTTGAAAGAGAAAAGTTGGGGCAGGACAGCTTCTCTCGTGTGACAAGAAGACACTGCATTGGGTGGGGGTCCAGTGGCATATCAAGGCTCTTCTCCCCGAGCAAACTTGATTAGAAAATTTGAATAAAAAAACACAACTTCTTTACAAGTTAAATGCAATTATGCGAATGCGATCTTATCAAGATGACTTCTGGCGCCGCCCTTCCCAATCCAATTCAATAGGGTTGACATTCTTGAGAACTGATCGGAAATCGTAATAGACCTCCGGAGACCCCGTCTGTGGTTTTCTTGCTCTGGCTTCTACTTTCTAATATCTTTTCAAGCAAAAAACCTGGGGTGTTTTCTCATGCTTGTGTTTTTCAAGACGCGATTATCCAGGGAATCTTAGTCCGAAATATAAATCTTGTTTGAGAAAAAAGAATCGTTGCCCTTAGGCCGAGATGTTCTTCTCATCGGGAGCCCAAATATGCAAATATCCTTCCGTCGCCGCCATGGGGATACAGAATCCTTTCCCTATCTCTACTTGCGGATTCTTCTGCCTTCTCGCCGCTCCTATTTTTGTTTTTATTTTATTTTTATTATTCTCCTCCATCACAGCCTGTCCACGTTATCTCGTGTATCTACTCTGCTATCGGGTTCTTTCTCCTTCCTCCAATATGTAATCCTGCGTTAAGCCCCGACAAAATCATATGCAAACCACATTATCTCATTTATCTATTTAAAGTCTAGCTTCATCATCCATGGAGAGGCAGAGAAGCTTCTCCTTCAAACCCACTAGGCTTCTGGTTTTTTCGTTTACAATCTGTTCCTTTGTCGTCGTCCTTACTGCTTTCACGATTTGGTTCAAAAAGTTCTCGCCTTCAGTCCACCAGCAGGCTCATGTACAGTTCAACATATCTCTCAGTGCGGGCGACATTCCTTTGGCCGTTCAGAACTCGACTGGTTTTACTAGAAACTTTACGGAAGATGGTGTAAAAATCCCTGCTTTGATTGAAAATCGTCAAGGTTGGTCCGATAATATCTCTGACGCTGACAGTTATTCTGGGTCGAATTCTTCCGTGCCGGACGAAGCTCATGCTTCGGGTGCTAATTTCACGGCAATGCAAGATGTCGTCGAGGATGAATCTCCATCTGGGGTGGTTAGAGATAAACAGGGGAATGTAATTCTTATTTTAAATGAGAAAACGGATGGCGACAGGAAGGACAAGTTGATTGCTGCAGCAGCTTCGTCCCAGAAGATTGAAGTTCCAACCGGGAAGAAGCTTGGACAGAAAACAGTCGAAGACTGTGATTTAACAAAAGGGAGTTGGGTTTTTGATGAAAGCTATCCTCTGTACACGAAAGATTCGTGTCCTTTCATAGACGAGGGTTTCGATTGCCAGGGAAATGGAAGATCAGATAGCGACTACTTAAAGTGGAGATGGCAACCGCAAGGCTGTGATCTTCCAAGGTACTGTCAAATTCAAACCCTCTACTTTTCTCACGATTCGCACATGTTTGGCTTTGCGATGATTAAACCTAGGAATCACTGACTTTTGACTGAAGTCATATGTATAGGACAAGTATTAAAGTGGTGCGTGATTTATGATAGGTTCAATGCGACAAAAATGCTGGAGTTGATTAGAGGGAAAAGAGTAGTGTTTGTGGGGGATTCCATTAATCGGAACCAATGGGAATCACTGCTGTGTATGTTAATGGGTGGTATCAGGGATCCGAGGAGAGTGTACGAGACCCATGGACGGAAGATCACGAAAGAGAAGGGAAATTACAGTTTCAGGTTTCTGGTAATTCTAATTTCTGCTGAATCTTTATTTGTTTTTGTCTGGCCGTGGCAAGTGCATCAAGTTGTTGGACTACCCACCTCGCAGGACTACCAATGCACAGTTGAATTCTATGTGTCTCATTTCTTAGTCCACGAAAGCAAGGCAAGAATAGGGCAGAAACGGAGGCCAACCCTGCGAATTGACGCCATTGATCGTGGGTCCTCGAGGTGGAGAGGGGCTGATATTTTGGTTTTTAACACTGCACATTGGTGGTCACATTACAAAACAAAAGCCGGGTGAGCGCTATGTTTTATCCTGTTCAATCATTCGGCATTTGAATCAGCAAGAGAAGTGCATTCATTTCAGTGTCCGATTGCGTAGGAGAATAAATTGAAATTTCAGTGTCTTGAACTTGAAGATAAATTCAGAGTCGAGGAATGATTACAGTTGTAAAATCCGTGTCTGCTAAAGCTGAATTACTTGTTAATCTTTTCTGGATCTCACATCTGTATGAACGACAGGATTAATTACTATCAGGAAGGGAGCATAGTTCATCCGCAACTAGATGTGTCAACAGCTTTCAGGAAAGCTTTGATGACATGGGCTTCATGGGTCGACAAGCACGTCAATACCAGGAAAACACGAGTCTTCTTCCGAAGTTCAGCACCTTCTCATTTCAGGTTTGGTTATAATTACATTATATGTGAACTGTGAAATGGTTTCTGTAATATCCAAAACCTCTGAAATGGGATGCCATGTGACAGGGGAGGGCAGTGGAATACGGGAGGGCATTGTAAGGAGGTGACAAGTCCGCTGAATGAAACCTTAAGCGCAGCTAAACCTGAGAAGAATGGAATCGTGGAGGAGGTGATGAAGCAGATGAAAACGAGGGTGACATTGTTGGATATAACAAGGTTGTCGGAGTATAGGCTTGATGGGCATCCCTCTATATATGGATGGAAGTCAGGGAAGAGCAGTAAATTGCACAGCACACAAGACTGTAGCCATTGGTGTCTTCCTGGGGTTCCAGACACATGGAATGAGCTGCTATTTTATCACGTGTACGCCCCGTCAGAATGAGCTGTCACCCTTCTGATTTATTGATTGATTGATTTATTTTCTTTTCTGATGCTGTTTAGTTGTAAAATCTTCCTCTCATCCCCTTAGATAGATGCATTTAGATTATGAGAATAGTTTAAGAATGAAATAATCTCTCTCTCTCTTAAAAAAATTTGCCCTTAACCTAACTTTTCTCCACAAAAAAGGGGACACACATCATGGAAGCATACAAATGTATTAGTGTTGGGGTTGGATTGGTGGCATTAACAAATGAAATAACTTGTCAACTTTATTTGTATTTAAAAAGTTGGGGTAATTTTTGGCGCATGTCCACTGCTCTCCGCATCATTCCCGCGCAAGAGAGATATGCGCAACGCATGTTCTATCTCGCAAATCCAGGCAAGAATCGCATCTTTTACTGGTCAACTCCATCAAAGTTCGAATGTCCCTGTATTAATTAAATGGATACGTAATTATTTGGATTGAGACGAGAGTACTGAAAATGGATTAGATACGAAAGTATATAATTTTTATTTATTTGAACTATAAGGTGGGTTTTGTAATGTCCAAAATGTAAGGACTTGATACACATCCAGAATTGTGTGTCCAAAATTATGGTTTTAAAAAATCTTATTCAAACACCTTAATTTTTTAAAATTCCATTTGGCATAAGTTATTTTTTTCTTCATTTGATAATCAATTCTTAATATCTGAGCATTATGCATTTTTCCACATCTTTATAATTGATTTTAAAAAATTATCCAAACATTTTTAATTATCAAAATCAATTTCAGAAAACATTATCCTTTTGTTAATCAATTTTGGCCGAAAAAATAGTAGTTTGATGGAGTTGACTGGTAATAACAACAATAATGATGGGTATTGATCCTCTTTCTCTTTGGTTACTCAAAGTATTCTCATTGTTAGTAGCTGTAAAACTAATCCTTTTAGGAGAGTTGTCTTCTCTGAAGTATATGCTTTCCTATGCACAACTTTTAGTGATTGAGTCCTGAAATGATGTTTAAGAGACATAGACTGCTACCATCTGTTTCACACCTACTTAATATGGGTATGGATCCTCTTCATACTCTCTTTTAATATATATCTTCATACTAAATCTTCTCTAGCTACTTAATTTATAATTTGAAATATATATTATCATTACCTAAATTTTTTAAAAATAAGATCATAATAATTCTTTTTTATGGTAGTCATTAAATGAATAATACATTTAATTTAATATTATAATTAGCAATCTTGCATATTTAAATCAAATGAATAATTAAATAAATGGATGAAATAGGGAATGCAGATTATTCGGAGGTCAGATCCCATATCATGTGGAAACAAAGCTTGGATATTTTCCCCAGTTTTATACGGATATAAACTGGCAGAGTATATATATCAGTGAATGTGTTATATGTTTCCTTTTGAAGCCTACTTAAATCTCGAACAATCAAAGAATTAAGGAGCATTGTTAAATCAGGACAAAACCTCCCTTGTACACTCGTGTCATGTGTGGGCTCTGGGAAGACCACGCAGCTGCTTTCTTTAAGGGAAGCGGATTTTCCTTTTGTTATTTAAACAATTGGCACAACTAGTTAATTAAGATATTAAACTAGTTTATTGAAGGCGTAAATTCTCTCTCGGAAATAACCCATGAGGCCAGAGTTTCAAACTGTCCTTTTCAACTCTCAGATAGGGCCTATCAAAATCAAATTCCAAAACATCAAAATATTATTATAATGTAGCTATCATAACCGAAAGCCGTTTCTCTAAAGTCGAATGATATGATGCATTGCGGAGCATCTGATGAAAACAATCCTATCGTTAAAAATGACACTAGGATATCAATGCTCTCGATATTAACATTAGAATGTTCCATCGCATGCTCATTTTTATTGTTTCACCGAACATTTTTAGGCATAATACTATGTGCATTTTCAATTATTATTTTCCTCATGGGACCACCCTTTCAGGACAATGCTATATAATATAATAGAAATACGGGTAGAAGCCACAGCCAGATTTACAATGAATAGCTCATCAATGAGACTGGTGTTTCTTGGCCCTGCCTTGAGAAGCTGCTGATTCATCTCTCCTTGAAGACTCAGGTTTACGAGCCCAAGCGGGTGCTTGATCTGGACCATAACGATAATCATAGAACAGCTCCTCACTAGCTTCGATGTGTTCCTTGGCAAAGATGCCAACTCGATGATCCCCAGCAACCAGCATCACCTAACCAATCAGCAAATCAGCAAATTATGGAGACATTAAACAATCAAGTTCATGCTTGTCAGCTTGAGAGGTAAATTATTCAACTCTCCTAAAAATTTGAGTTACTGAACTCACCTTTGCATAGCAGTTTGGATTTGATGAGTGGTTGGCAAATTTTAGTTTGTCTCCTTTGCGATAAGCATCCAGAACATACTGTGAAGAGACAGGTAATATATTATTAGTGTTCGAGTCCCAGTGTATTACAGCTTGTCACGAAGGGAATTGTGAAAACTGGCAGCTTGCTAAAGCAAACACGGAAATGACGAGACAAGAATCTGACCCTCGATTAAAAGAAAAGAGAGCCCCAGTCCATGGAAGAAAATGAAAGGGCAGGTTTGGTTACGAGAACTATGAGACACTTGCCTGATCATTCAAGTCAAAAAGGAATGATGAGTTCGCACGATCATATATTTTTCCACGCTTGTCTGCTTCTCGGTGGGAGATCAGTTCCCCAGTGTATTCTCCTAGATAATCATTTTTGTTAACTGGGTTCTGAAATGAATGCATCAATTAGTGACGAGAAAAGGCTGACACAAACTAGAGAATAAACAAGTTCATGCATCTCAAGTCTCAACCTTTAAGAATGCTCCCCATCCTGCAACATCAGACTTTGCCAAAAGAATCTGACCAAGAGAAATTGAAACAAACGGAAAACAGTTTGAGACCAAAATATAATTATGATGTTAAATCACAGGAAAAAAATATGCATGTATGTATGTATGTCAGACTTTGCCAAAACAATCTGACCAAGAGAAATTGAAACAAACGGAAAACAGTTTGAGACCAAAATATAATTATGCTGTTAGATCACAAGAAAAAAAAAAAGTATGCATGCATGCATGTAAAAAAACTTTTTATGCCAAATTTCAATTTCTAGAGTCCATATATCCTCTCATTCAGTGTCTCATCATGTGAGACAGGAAGAGTGACACAACGGATGTGATCTCCACACAGATGTGCCTCATCATGTAAGAGAGTCACATAAAGGGTGTGATGTACACAGGTGGGTTCCGCTGGCTCCACACAATATGTCATTATGAGGCACAGAAGAGTAGAGGATTCAAATGACAATTACTAACCCTCTGTTGTTGCCTTAAAAGAAGCCTCATATTTCCACATTGACCATCTCCACGTCTAGGTGGTTCTCCCAATGAACCATCCCCACAGCTGTTTAAAGAAAGTAATATTCAGTATCATTGTAAAATATCAAAAGAAAAACATTCAGGTCCAAATAACATGCCAAAAAAATGCGGGGGAGAGTTTCAAATGACATGGTGCCAAAGGGAAGTCTCACGGCCTCAAACAAGGAGATAAAGCCAAAGAAGAGAACTAATACATGATTTCACCAAGAATGCTATCAAGAGTCGATATTTTAACCCATAACATACTAGCATCGGAATCTACAGGAAAGTATCTATCAAATTAACTAGACCCCCCCCCTTTTTTTTTGGGGTTTCATCATTGGAAACAGATGAAAGGTGATTTAAGCTTTATAGCCACAAAAAATAAAGTGAAATTGCAGGAAGGTCACACTATGTATATGTCTGTTACTGGTAAATGACAGCCACATCAACTCTACATGTTTGGATCTTCTGACTTTTGCTTTTGAAGAGGTAGAAATTAGAATATATAAATAATCAAAAGTAACTTTAAATCATATAAAATGGAAGCATAATTCACACATTAATTGCTGAGAGATGGTACAGTATATATAAAAGTTGGTAAAAGTATACTCTAGTCAGTACCCAATTGTTGGAGATAACAACATTATGACCAAAATAAAGATATCGGACACATAATATCCCAATGCATAAAGTCAAGGTCACCATACAAATGTTTAAAACTCATTACCTAACCCAGCAGTTTCGGCAAACATCTGGATCACATTCGCGTCCAGCAGCAAAGCATGGACATTGTCGACTTCTGCATTGACTCTTAGCACAGTGACAACCTCTGAATCGATTTTTGCAGCTTTTGGAGCATCTAAAAGTAGAAGAGCTAATTTAATACAGTTGTTTTTTAAAAAAAAAAATTTAACAAGTAGCTTGATCCAGCCAAGAAAAAGAAGTAAATGACTTGAGGCAAAATTTTCATCTTGGACAAGTCCCTACAACCATTGACAAAGTTGGAAATGTGTTTTACTTTCTGGCTGCCTTAGCCAGTAATAGCCTGAGCCCAGAAAGAAAGAAATTATACTATGACATGTATGAATTTATTAATAATTCATAAAAAAGCATATTCATGATCAACTGAATTTCTCCTTCATCATCTCAAGCGTAATTTTTCTTTTATTGTTGGTATTGGGAGTGAAAAGGCTTAGCTAGCCCTCATTGACATTATGTCAAGATCATCCTCATTAGAAATCGTCCTCAGGCTGGATGCACCCCCGCCCCAAAAATTTTGGGACATGAGAAATATTTTATCGTGCTTTTTATTAATAAAAAAAACTTAAATTATTAACAGAAAAATGACATACCCACAATATTTTTCACAGCAAGTTCCATTATGAAGGCACGGACATTGCTTTCCACACATTGACTGACATCCACAGGGCGTATATTGCTTGCAAGATTGGTTTTTTCCATCCGCAATTCTTTTCCATATTGATGGGTGGCCGGCAGACTTCCAAGAATATTTAAATTTCCTTGTTTTGCCCCTTTTCCGTAGCAATCTCGCTCTTGTTGGCATCTCTTGGTCCTAACAATGAGTACAAAAGCAACCAATTGGTCTCTAATAGCCAGAGCACATAACCAACGGGAACATAGTGACAGAACAATAAATTTGAAAAAAAATTAATATGCAAAAAAGCAGCCCTCATAAGTTAAGAAGGATACACAAATACACAATGATCGGGAATCTCCTCCATCCAAAATTACTTAGAGCAAATTTCATCAAGGTTCTCTAACCACACATGATTGGAGATTCCAATTCTCTTACTAAACAAGACAGAGAGAGGAAAATTGTTGTTGGCACAATAAAATCCATTAAAACATCCTAGTAAATACAGATTGAAAATCTCTGCCACATCTTCACCAAGCACCAAGTCACTTACAAACCCACCCCCCCCCCAAAAAAAAAAAAAAAACCCCACCATTCTCACCCACAAAAAGAATATAGAAAAATCAACGACAATGAGAATAGAATAATCTAAATATAAAGGACGGGGATGCAACTCTCACTGTGCATTCTGCATCAGTTTTTCCGTTGTCATTCCTGAGTGAACTTGGTGGAACATTAGATCTGTAGGGCATTGATGCTCCACCAGCATGCATGTAACTAGCTACTTCCATGCAGGTCTTAAGGCCAGAAAGTAAGTTCCTTGTTATGAGGCAACTGCAGAGCATTAGTTGCACATGATCACAAATCTGCCTAATTCAAATTCACAGCTCCTACAAAAATTCAGATGTATGATATCCAATAAATTTAAATTTGTTGTTCCATGATCCAACTATGAAGAAAAACAAGTCCAGCCATATTAAATCTTGCCTTCTTTAATCACAGGTTGGGAGAAAATTACTTTCTAAAAGCAAATTCAAACTTCAATGGTAATCACTGACCTCAATTTGATATAGATAGGAGTTCCCTAGAACCCAAGACTATTTAATATAGCTGATCATAATTATAATATTCTTTATGAAAAATGGCGGAAATGCCCAAACATGGTCTTAGTGTTTTATCCAGTAAGAATGCAGGACAATACTGTAAGCCACATACTCCCTTCTGATCCTTGTTATTTATTAGACATCTTTAACCAGCCTATTAGAATCAAGGAGAAAAAATTAAGTCATTAACTTTGTTTCAAAATGAAAAAAAACAATTCCAAATTTACCAATATTTAAAATCATGAATCGCATCTCGAGAGAAGTCACAGAGAAAAATTGCATCATACTTGAAATAAGGGCAATCTTGAAAAAATGTAATTAATAATACCACACCTAATGACTTATAATAAAAAAAGCATCCATTTCTAGAGTATGCCTCATAATAAGGACCAGAGGGAGTACCTGTTTCTCCCAAACATTTCTATTCCCTTCAAGTATAGCTCTTTCTCCATAGGTTTCCATTCTGAGAGTCTTTGCATCCCTTCAACATGCTTATTCATGAAATTGGATGACTCACTGAATTCTGCCTCAGCCATGTCATCTTTAGGTCCATCCCCAACATTTTCATGTTCACCATGACAAGTGCTCCCAGAAAGTATTGATTTGTTAGAAGTATGATCTACAGAATCACTCAAACATTCAGAAGCAGCAACACATTTTTCATCACATGCACTGACATTTAGGTCTCTGTTATTATCATTGATTGTAGTGACTGCATCAATATCTGTGTTTTTCTTTTGCTTTTTACAAGAACTTTGTGAATCATCAGAAAGCAATGTTAAGTCACACAGTGCTATATCTGATCGATTTATGGTCTTCCGTTTCCCCCGACTCTCTGCCACAGGCATATTTAAGTTGAGACCTCCACAACCGGCAAGTTCTGTCAGAAAAGGTGTTGTATTCATAGAATTGCATCTTTCTTCCACCAAGGTAGTTGCAGTGCCCTGCTTTCCTGGCTCTTCTGCACCGGAGGGTGCCAAAGTCAATACTTCCTCTTCCATAGTTGTGGTTTTATTTTCATGTAAACAACTAGGATCTGATGAAATTTTCTCAGACTTTAACTGCAAGCAAAAGAAAATACAGTCAGACAAATTTTGCCCATCAAACATGATCTTCATTTAAATCTTATAAGGAACATTGATGATGTTTGATGAAAAAAGGGGTGACATTCTCTATACTCAGTCCAAAATTTTCAATAAATCTATGCACACATGAAAGTTGAATATAATGGAAAAATACCCTTAGGTAACACTGATCGCTGCATGGCTTCCTGTCCTCTTCATGCTCAAACCAAACTGGCTGCTTTTCACTCTGTGAAGCGAACAATCAGATTTACTTACAGGTGGACTATCTATGGTTTAAGTAACAAAAAGCATATAGCGCTGTCACTTACAGGATATATTAGGGGTTGAGAACATCCATGCAAGCGACAATCAAACATCTGCTGAAGAAAAGCCCAAAAAAAAAAAAAGACAAGAAGAAGATAGATGTAAGATATATTAATTGATTATCTTACACACTATGATGATGTCCAGAATGTTAAATATATAACGATTTAGCATATACCATGCATCGACGACAAAAAAGGTTATCAAAAGAATCTAAAGCAGTACTCAGGCTTTCCTCCAAACTTATACCAATCTGAGATTCATAATTTCCAGAACCTTCAGACTGCTGGTCCCACCTCCTCATGTTCTTTTCCTTGAGACTTTTGTACCTATCCTGCATATTTCATGAAAACATTTTTCTTAGGTAACAAGGGGTACTTATCACAACTACCTTTTCCAACAACAACAACAACAACAACAACAAGCCTTTATCCCACTAGGTGGGGTCGGCTACATGGATTGCAAGACGCCATTGTGCTCTATCATTTATTAAGCTTTTAGAAATATTATTAATTAAGAGATCACGTTCAACTACCTTTTCCAACAATTAATTAAAAAGCAATAACCATCAAGCTTTAATTTATGTCCATAAGTTATTCAGAATTACCTGAATTTCCTGTCTAGTACCTCCAACAGACTCGCTCACAGTATCCAACACTTCCTCAGTTAACCCATATTCCTCAAACGCCATCCTAGTATATCAGAGTGAAACAGTGATTATGAAAATGAGAGCTTTCAATATTTATATATATATTTTAAAAAACTTATTATCTGATATTCAGAATTGAATATCTCGTGTGTTCATGATAGGAACAAGATCACTTTGACGCATCAATAATGGATTCATATTGCAAACCCATATGCACTTAAAACAGCTCCTCCTAAAAAAGCTTGTTCATTCAAATCTTGCATCTCTATTTTAACTTACCATAAAATTCGGTCTTCAGCATCAGTAAATTCATGCTTATCTTCCTCAGGTTCCGTTAGCTCTTCCTCACTGTCACTGCATATCAATGCTTCACTTCCATGTTGGTCATAGTAGATACGCCTTCTGCCAACTACAGACTGATCTTCAGCCATTCTCTGATTTCTGTTCTGTGTGTGAAAGATTTTAAAATAGCAGAAGAAACAATACTATCTGCATATGGACTGGTAAGGGTTTTATAATCCAAGCTTCTAACCACAAAAGGAATCAGACTCAAGAAGTAGGCAATTTTACTACCCATAAATCCACATTAGGCATGACCGGGCAGGCAATAAATTAAATTTATAAGGATATGTACCTGTCCAAAAAGATCCAAGATGTGTATGGCGGTAATCTTTCAATATAAGGCATCTTGATACTTGTTGTAAAAACTAGTTCTAGACTGTTGATGTGATCTTTGTCACCAGAACCTTGAGAGAAAGCATTGAACTTAAATAGAGGGTGGTCAATTCTTGAAGAAAGCATTTGATTGATTATAGTTTCCTTTGTAAGAAAAGAATCCCTTCTTGTTATTGCTGAGACAATCTGGGAAACATGGCATTGTACCTTCTTCCCATTCCTCAATAGTTTTTCCTATTAAACATCAAGAATTAGTTGCAAGCAAACTTGTAAGATATACAGAAAGAGGCCTTCATAGTTGTGCAAGAAATAAGGCTGCAGTCCTAACCCACTATGAAATTGAAAAGCCAAATGGTCAATAAATTCACCACAATCATGTAAGATAAAAAAGGACAATTCATATTTGGCTTTGGTACCATCCAGTTTACCCAAGAAAATATGAAAACATTGCAGAACTGAAAAATGATAATTCACTGAGACTGAGTTGGTGGGAAATAAAAAAAAAATTACTGGAAGATCAGTGCAAATTCCCTCCGTTAACAGTGAATAAATAATGAAGTGTCTGGCCATAAAGCACATCTACAAAAGTACAATGGTGAAAGCAAAATTTCCACGTTGGACCCCACTGGGCAACTTACTTTAATTGATACAACTCTCTCCGCCTGGATTTGCTTTTCCAGATGATCAATCTTGCTTGACAAGGTTCCAACAGCATCGTTTGCTGGCTCTCCATGTGATTTCTGTGGAAACATGTCACAGCAACGACATTTTTTGGTTCAAAATACAGCGTAACAAAAATCAACCCAAGAATGAAAAGATTCTAAAAAAGCCAAAAATTGCAGGTAACGTGTTTCAAGTTTAATTCTCAATCGATATAGAGACGAACTATCCGTTTACTTCAAAGAAATTATCCAAGAATCATAGAGCTGAATTTAAGAATCACGTCATGGGGAAGCCCTACAACGGAACTCAGTTGTTGGAGATAGAGATTATAGGAAAAAGAAAACTTTTGGGTATAAATCTTTGCTATTCGATTAGATTGAGAATTTTGCGTAATTATCTGAATTGAATTCTGAGTATCAGTATAATTCCAATTCCAAGAAAATCAGAAAACAAAACAAAGCAACTAAACAAATTATTCAACTTTTGGGTATCAATCTTTGCTATGCGATTAGATTGAGAATTTTGCGTAATTATTTTAATTGAATTCTGAGTATCAGTATAATTCCAATTCCGAGAAAATCAGGTAACAAAACAAAGCAACTAAACAAACTATTCAATTTGTTGGTTAAAAAAACAAATTGTTCAATTCAAGAAATGGAGTGAAGAATAAGGAAAGCGGCAGGAAAAACCGACTCTTAGTTTGATCGCAGAGTCTGATGCTTTGGACACCATAGATGCTCTGCTATGCTCTGCGACTTGACGAAGGAGCGAACGGAGCGAGATACACTCAAATATGGAAGAAAGTAACGCTTTAGACCTTTAAGACTGACACGTTTGCTGTAGGCAGTGAGGAGTGACATGGCCTACCGCGGAACTCAACATAATTTCTGGGACCGTTTCACGCGGCATTTACGTCGTACGCACCTTGCAGGCTACTCTTGGAAATCACTGGGCAGTGTTTTAATTCGGAGTTCTCACAGATTTTTTTTTAAAAAAATAAAAAATAAAGGGGAAACAGAGAGAAAGAGTTTATCAAAAAACAGAGAGAGAAGAAGAAAACAGAAAAAAAAAAAATTATCTTGTTCACAATATTTTCAAAACTAAATTAAATATTAAATTAAAAAAATTCATAATTTACAATTTAGTTTAACTGAATTAGACCAGCAATAAAACTAATTACATAATAATTAAATTAAATATATATATAATAATTTAAATATAAAAATAAATATAAAATTATTATTTAACTTAAAAATAAAATTAAATATTTAAATTTATCATAACTTAACAAATTACATGATATAACATAATATTAAATGATTAAAAAATTAATTATTTTCTAAAAAAGAATATTTATTGAACATTTTAATTTTTAAAAATTGAATCTAGTTTTTGACTTAATTTGATTTTTAATCCTATTGTTTGTCTAAAATTATCTAACCTAACTCAACCTTTAAAATAATTTTTATATATTGACCGAATTAAAATTCAAACTAATCGGTGGTGGGATCATTGGATATGATTTGATTTTTTAATTACTGCTTGTTCACTGCATTTGCATTCACATTCACATTTTCATACTTTTTTTTAACATGTGCTGTTTCGCGCGTAGTCACTGCATTTTAACTTTTTAAGCTATTAATTGGTACCTGATGATTCTGCCCATAGCCCCATCCCAGTCGTACGTGGCAAGCATTTTTTCCATTAATATTCTTTTTAATTTTTACTGGAATAATAGTTTTTCTAAGCATAGTATTCAGTTTATAATTTGCCCCGTTTGATATTAATGTTTTTCTCCATAAAATTTAAAAACAAATGTTTGCGTAGAAATTGATTAAAAATAGATTTTATATCAAATACTGTTTTAAAAAATGTTCAGTAAAAATTTAAAGCCTAACTTTGTTTTTGTTTTTGTTTTTGTTTTTGTTGTTGTTGTTGTTGTTTTTTTTTTTTTGGGTAATAGCCTGACTTTGTTGTGGAGGCAACAAAGCGACCCTTACATGTCACGTGGTTCGAATCTTACTAAAGGGGGCCAGTGGGGCGAGGTCGGCCGAGGCATAGTATCGGTCTCAGAGAGAATATTCTCCTTTTCCCTTCCTATCTCCTTTCATTCTTTTCCCTTTCGAATCATTTAAATCTTAAGATAAGGTTTAAATTTTATCTCTTATAAAATTATTATTAAAATATTAAATTATTTAAAAATAAAAATAATGAAAGTCAAACTAGTAAAATTTAATATAAATAACAAAAAATACAGTAAAAATAAAATAAAAATATTTTATAGGAGATTAAATTTAAACCATTTAAATCAAGATCAAATGATTAAAAATTAAGAAGAAGAGGAGAAGAGGATGTGAAGGGAAAAGGAGAGAATCCTCTCCCGGTTAGTCTTTGCCGAGTATTGAGTCAGGCATGACAGCTCACGCTAATTCAATTATTATTGAGATGGGAAGGATTGGGTTTTTTTTTTTTTTAAATAAATGACTATAATTTTACAAAAACAATTAAGAACTGTACTGAATGGGCCAGTGTTTTGGGCCTACATGAAATGTACAATAATTGTAGGCCCATCGAAGTCCAAACTACCAAAGGCATTCACTGATAAAGAAAGTAAATAATTTCAAAATTCATTTATAAACAGGAAAAAATCCAAAAAAAAAAAAAATCCTAATAACTCCAACTCTCGAACTCGAAGGTTAAGCCTTCCAAAGATTTATTGGCGAGGACAGTCACGTGCACAAGCAATCATTGGGAATATACACGAAGAGATGTTATTTATTGCAGTTTACAGCTGAAGAAAGTTCTCGCTTGATGTTGTGATGTTCTAGAATGTCACTTGGCTTGTTTTATATTGTCAGAGGAATTTCCAGGCTGAAACAGAGTGGATTGGGGTCCCCTTCCAAGCGACTGTTAGGCTATTGCCGTTTTTACCAAGAGTGCAAAAGTTGCCGCACGCAAATTTCTTGACCACCTAGTTTGCTTGGTACACTGATGATTCGGTAAAGCTCGCCTCCTCCATTCTGCAACTCATCCTTCACGCAGGTTTCAATGCAGTCCACGTAAGCCGAGAAGAAGAGCAATGCTTCAACGAAGAGCTTCCCCAAGGACGGCGAGTTATTGTTCGCTTCTGTTTCAACTTTCAAGTATTGCCATTATACACGGTTTCTTTTTCCTCATGCTCATCAAGTTTTCCAAGCACTCTGGCATCGGTATCATGGTCGATAGAACGTACGGAGCATACACCGCTACGGCTTCATCGTCATCGACCTCAATGTGTTGTTCTTTGATTTCGATCATGTCCGTCACAAAAACAGCCTTAAACGAGAAGGGCAGGTTTAAGGATTCTGCAAAATTGGCTAAGCACTCGCTTGTCTCTCCTAGCTCGATTCTGCCCCTGAATCCAATAGCAGTAATCTTGAGAAGCTGAAGGGGCCTTTCCCGACGTCCGACCAACGCTTGCATCAGAGCTGTCCATTGCACTCCACACCTGATTTCAAGATCAATTACATGGATTTTCGTCCCTGACGCAAGGTGCTCCGTGATAGCTTGTATGCTGGTTATTTGCATCACTTGTCTGAATGGAGTCTTTTGAAAGCACGTGGATACAAAAGATAAACTGGAATCGATCTTCCCAAGGAACTCATGCCTTTCGGTTTTCTTATATCCATCAAGTGTTGATATCATTCCTTTTTCCTTGTGAATCCTCTCTCGCAGTGCTCGAGAGACATAGTAGATAATTTTCTGAGCTGGGCTTGCGCAAGCGTAAGAATTCAATTCCCAGAGTAAAAGTATCCTGTCTGCTCGTCCGTATTGTTAGCAGCCTACTCTCTCCTCTGCAGTGAGGAGAAATTGAGCAAGTTCGACGTCTCTGTTCTCCTCCTCAGACATACCACCTAGATTAAACCCATACGGATGCATAGGCATGCAAATATTATCGTCACAATAGGCAGAGAACTGGACGTATCTCTCTCAGGCGACTCTTATTATTTCGTTAGTTGACAGCTTCTGGCGACCCACAGAACAATCAATTTTGGTCGTGCTGCTGATATTTTGCCCCTTCAGTCTCGAGAGCCTGCTTTTGTAATTGTTCAAGAGCTTCACAATCAAATGCTTGTGGCGGCTGCAGAAGATAGTCAAAGCCGAACTCTTTTAGCGTCAAGTCGTCAAGTTTGGGTTCATGACTTCGATTTTAAAATGAGTACTGTTTCTTTCTCATGATTCTCAATGGGGAGAGTATCCATCTTTTCTATGAATTTCATGTCAGAGAAACTGATTTTCCCATGGAACATAGCCTCCTCTTGTGCAGACCTATGACCGCCCTGGGTTCCATTGAAATTCAAAGCTATATCGTTCCACATGCCGGACTGTGAATTGTGACAAAGCAGAAGTGGTTTTAGCAAGTTAACAGACAACGCCCTCGTCTAGATCTAGATCAGCACGGAACTACCTACGGTGTCGTTAATCATGGTCGGATATACAAGGGAATAAAGGTAAACATGATTGAAGAAACTCCATTGCCAACAAATAAAATAATGAGAAGTTGTTAAAGGTTAACGTTAGTTGGATATCCTCGGGACAAACGTCAGGCAGCGATTAATTATGATTTAAAAAATTGATGCGGCGTACAGTCCGCCTTACCATCGTGGGTTTGGCACTTCTCAGTTTGTCGTGGGTTTAACAGTTGCAAATTCCAACGAGTGGAAGTAACAAAACTACAGTATTATATCAGTTTTCCTAAGGTGGTCAGCCCAGCGTGACTGGTTACGGTTCAGGGACAACAGCAAAATGGTTTTATCTGCCGAATTATAAAGTATGAAACGACAACTAATGTGTTATTTATTATAGTCCCTCTGCAAAGATTAGTACAATATTGTTGGCTATTGTCACAATTTGTTTTCACGTGTCATCCAGGGGTACAATAAGCAAAATCAGAACTGCCACCGTAATGGCAACGCTACATTTGGCGAAGTGCAATTGAGCTACGAAAAAAAAAAAATGAAATAAAAGCAGATGAGCCTGGAATGAATCTGTTATCTGTGTTTGATATGATTGGATTCATTTTTCCTTTTCGGTCGATTCCAAATGGGATGGGCGATTATAATTAGCATAATACATACATAATGAAATGCACTACATTCTGAAAATGTACAAGACTTGGGCTTTGCTGGCGAGATCATGATGCTTCCAGTAGTTAACCCAGGACTTGGAATCGGCGGCGACGGAAGAAAATGTATAAAAAGAAACAAGACGGAAACATTCTAAGAGTCTAACCCAATTATAAATCCTACTTCTGCTGTGATTTCTAGTCTTCTAGAAAAAGAGGTGCGAGTTATAGTTTTAAGTTTACACGCGAAATCAGTAGCCTGGCTAAAGGCACCGCGTGCGGCATACCGCTTGTTACAACACGGGACAATAGAGAAATGGATCAGATTGGTGAAGGTTATGGGCTTAACAAAAAGAAATCAATGGCTAAGAAATCCAACCACGATACATGTCACACTGTGGGCTGGGTAGGCCCCATTTTCTCTTTGGCCCTAACAAACCTTGCCTACTCAGCTTGCCTTTTGCTTTTTACGTGTCCTATTACGATGATTAATGAGTCCTGAACCATGGTCGTCCAATCCGGGAGCCGTCCTCCCCGTCCAATCCATGGGTTAGTAGGAGTGTTTATTTTTTCGGCTCATTGATTACCAGAAAATGATTATTTTGAACTTTTAAATATTGCTGACGCACTTCTGAATTTTGACACCGTCAATGCTGCACTACCGATTGCTGCAGTACGTCATACTGGTTTATTTATTTAAGTGTATGATTTCATAAATGTTAATATTCAAGGATCTGATTCAGCAACTTGTGCAATTTTCTATTTTTTTTTAAATTGAAAAAGCGAATTTCAATATTATAATGTCCCGAGCCGAAGAATGGCAATTGGCCGAAGAAGAAATGAAATTGAGGAAATAAAAAATATATATAGAATTGATCGATTGAATTTACACCTTGTCGTCGTCGTCGTGGGATTCAACTGGAGCAACCTCCGATGCACTTGTTCGGCGCAGACAAACGGAGGCCATCCACATGAGAGCCTTCACCACCCTCACCATCCCAATGGTAACGGTCAGATAATACAACCACCATCCGATGAAATCCGCCACCCCCACTTCCATCAATTGCTCCTTCTTTGCTTCCGCCATAACCACCAGCGTCTCCACATCTTCCCTCAGCTTCCACCACCACAAACCACCCAGGCTCGCCGCCATCATCATCTTCTCAATCCATCTTTCTCTCCTCGCGACCCCGCCGAACACCGTGTCATCCACCACCGGCTTCACCACCGTTGTGCACCAAAACTGCATCGTTCCGTGCAATCCCATGAGAAAAATCACTCTGCTCAGCAAACTCCTCTCCACTCCAAAACTCGAATCAGACTCATAGAGTCCCGCGGCTATGCTCCCTTCGATGCCCAGACCGACGCACACTTGAAAAGTACAGAGGAGAACCCACGCGGTGAAGAGACGAGGCCGGTGAACGGAGCTAGGCGAGCCGCTGAAAAGGGCGATTTTGCCTGTCAAGCCGTGGATGAGGGCGGCGACGCTTACAAATGAGACGATAACGCAGAGGATTGCGGGGTTGGTTTGGAGGGCAAGAGACAAGAGATGAGGAAAGGGTTTTGGCGAGTGATCATACCAAGTGATGAGGGATTGAAGATGATATTGGGCGCCGGAGAGTCTGGCCAGAAGAAGAAACGAGAGAGGGAGGAGGAGGCTGAGAAGCGTGAGTGTGAAGATGTAGAAGATTTCTGTAGGAGATAGCGCACAGCTTTTCAAGATCTCTTTAGCTTGGTGCTGCCATTTTTGCTTCCCCATTTGTGATCAGTTGAAGCAATGATTTGAGCGGAACAAGAAGAGCCCTTTATTTTCAAGCCACGGAAAGTAGAACGTGCATTTGAGGTCACTATATACCAATTATATATGTGACCTCTCAGCTAGCTAGGCGTTGGAAGAGGAACTTAAAGTGGTTACCACGTCCTTTGTTTATCAGGTTGACATTTTATAGGACATGCGGAGGGGGGATTCTGATACATGTACAACGCGGCGTATATATTTCCATGAATCAGTTAATTATCTATTAATTAAATTATCATATCAATTTCACGTCCCCTGTGAGATTCCCCCCCCCCCCCAAAAAAAACAACAAAAAGAAAAAGTCTGTACCTTGTATATTGAACGCGGGGCGCGTGTGGGTGCAGCCAGCAAAATTCGACGAAGATAATTGTAGGACCCTCTGCTTATTTTTTAGATTATTTTGTGGACCGTTAATGTGGATAGGAAGATGAATAGTAAATTAAACACCACTGCAGCACCCAACAAAAAAAAAAAAAAACTTGAATACCACTGCCCATGACAGAAGACAGTGATCAAGGATTACCATTCCATTGTTCGTCGTCGTTCGTTATTAGAACGGAGTACCTTTTCCATTGCATCGGACGGCAATGATACACAGATAAGTTCTTTTTTTCCGAATTAAAATCCAGAACCTGGAGAAAATCCCAATAACAAAACAAACACGTAGACCTAATCTTCAGTTAGGGCAGTAATAAACCAAGTCAGAGTGATGAAGTATAGAATTGCAAGTTTGGACGTCAGGGGCCGAAGCATAACTCTCATGTCAAAGATGAGTTTACACGCCTGATATATATTAGATATTTTAAAATCCATGACAGGAACAATCCAACATTGGTGATATATTGGTTGACTAATTTAATTAACATTAAGCATTGAGCCCTCCTCGTTCCTCCCCCCCCCCCCCTCTCTTTTTTTCATTTTCTTTACTTTTTTTGTTTTTATTTTCCCAGGCTTTACCATAAATAAGTGACGGCATTGATACTCAGCGTAGATATTTAGCTTGCAATATATACTGGTTCTATTTATTAGATAAAGAAATAAAAAAAATTTAATCTTGTTTATAATATATCTGTCAATTCTCAATGCTCTTCTTTATATTTTTGTCTTTATTAAATATTTTAAATAAAAATAATAATAATATTTATTAGGGGTGAAAAGAAAAATTTATTAAATTTTAAAATAAAATTAATAAAATTTAAAATTTTTTTAATTTTAATAAAATATGTTAAAAGTGATTAAGTATTATATTTCAAATGACGGCCGCGTGATACATAATCTAACGCGGCGTCTTACTTACTAGGAGTTTTCCAGTAACTAGTAATCAATAATATTTAGTACAGTTATCTAAGCTCTTTCACACGAGAAGATTAACTGTAGTTGGGTTATGTCATGAAGTCACAGTAATTATTCTACAAAAATTCTGCAATAAACTTCAAAGTGTTTTGATTTTCTTTCATTGTTTTAATTTTACCATAGCTTGGGAATGGAAATTTATATATACACAATTCATTATCGTTACCATTATATCATTATGTTATTTTTTATTGGATATTTTTTTCTATGCTGATAGGTTCTAGTTTCAATCCTGTAATTTTGCCATACATATATTTATATAGAAGCAAGGATCATATTCTGAGTCGTCGGTAGATGTGTAACATCAGTCGATGGGAAGGGTTTAGTCTTTAATAGCAAACCTTTAAAACTGGAAGTCAAATAAGGGTATTATAAATTTAAAAATAAGCTAATAATATTAATAACGTTAATTAGTTACGAGATGAGTAGTGGCCAATGGGTAGTTGAAGAAGAAAAAAATTATAGTCGTGGTCGAAGTTTTTCATTCAGGGAATCAACTACGGAACAATTTTGAAGATATACAAAAAACATTAAAAGAAGGATGTGTTTGACCAGTAAAGGCACAAGTCTCTGCTATTTTGGTGAAACTCAATATCCACACAAGAATGAATTCTAAAAACGGGAACACGTAAACACACACGTTTTGCCTCCCGGCAAGTGGTATATAATCTAACCAGCAGTGAGACTCTGCCGAATCCACCCAAGTTGTCGGACGGTATTTGATCAATTTTTCGGAATTTAGGTCTGAGCCGGTCTAAGATGTGTATTTTGGTTGTCTAGTTCAGGAAAACCAAAATCAGATCAAAGGCAATGCATATGGTAGCCAAACAATACAGGCGAGTAGGCCCTCATCAATTCATGAAGCAAAAGCCGGCGTTAGTATGAGACAAGCCGCAGAATACAATTGTTGTATTATGGACTTTATTTTATTCTCTTGAGGAATTAAAAGAAAAAGAGAAAAAGGGTTGATGGAAACGGTGATTGTCAACGGCCAAGGATTGATGGAAACATATCACATCACGTTAAAACCCAAGGTGCCAAGGTCCTTGTTCCTTGTCTTTCCTCTCTCTTCTCTGTCTTAAAGCGTCATTAAGGGATGTCTTTGTGGGCTCGTGGAAGCTGCCTCTAATCTTCAGCCCCACACTGTTCTGGGTTCTCTTAAAACTCGCCTTCAAAAGCCCATAGATAATGGGACTATGCTATGAGCCTATGCTTGGCATTCTGGTTTTGTTTTTCCCGTCAACAGAGGCTTGCGATTCTCTCCACTCCACCTTCGCTCAAACAAATACCAGGTCCAATCATATCGATGAGCTTATAATAATAAGAATAAATTAATCATTTAATACTTAAATTGCCCACAAACAATATGATTGTTTTAATTGAGAAAATTATGCTTAATTGAATAATTTTTTTAAAAAATGTTTTCTTTGAGAGATTAAATTGGGAAAAAAATTAATGTTTAAAATTTGAATCGAAAAACCAATGATTAAATTTTTGCTTTAATTTTTTTAAATTATCAGATTATTAATTTTTTAATATAAATCAATGTATGCGTGATAACGGATCATGCATGGGGCGGATGGATGTTTTCTACTTTCTAGGATCCAAAATATTAGTGCCTTTCACGGGTCCTTTTTAGAACCTGGACTATGATTAGACATGACCTATCTCATTCCTTCTCCAATTCCAATACAACTGTTCGCGGATAAAAACAACTCGTAATCAACCGTTGCAATTTTTTTTTTTTTTTCTGGAGGACGCGACTGAATTTGAACCTTCTTTACACTCTCGCCAATTCCATTTATAAAGTTTATTTTAAAAAATTTATTTCATTTTATTTATAAGTCACAATATAATTTTACAGGTAATATTTTTAAAATTATTTTCACAATAAAAAATGTAAAATATATTTAAAATTTTATATACTTTTATTTCCTACACTTTTTTATATTGATAATGATAAAATTAATAAAAATGATTTATAAAAAGAATTAAAGAAGTACATGAAATTGATTTTTTTTTTTTCTTGTTTTACAATACGTCTTCTCTGTTCATCCAGCATGCATGGTACGTTCAGCTGTGCCTGCTATTCTATTTCCCGATCAAGACTGCAACTCTCAAGGATCGTTAACTTTTTGACTGGACTCGTCTAAATGCAAACAAAATATATCTAATGTGAGTACATGTTAGAATTACTTCACCCTGAGATTGATTAATTCGCATACTTCTATGACATGGGCAATGCAAAGTAAACGCACGTGGGAAAGTTTGATACTTTCCAATAGGTATATATATTTAGTGTCAACCTTCGTGTCTGAACGCCTAAACGTGTTACGACTGTCGAATATTCCTATTGAAGCTTGGAAGTTGATTGGCTTCTTCAGTTCCATCACTTTTCCTCACTTGGTAGGGAATCCAAGCTTCTAGGACTTCAATTTTGGATAACGCTGCAAATCTAGCCTCGTTGATTCTGTTGTGCATAGACAAACGCAATGACTTATGAACCATATTAAAGTGGGATCTCTTCTACTATACACATACCCACTGTACTTGGGAACTTTCCAATTGCACGTTTTCTCAGTGTTAGCGGTAGCGGTAGCATACTGAGCAGTCTTTTGCAAGACACACCGTGGGCAAGGACGCATCCACGTGGCAAAAAATAATTCACTGTAGTGGTGGAGCATGGCCTCACTGAGTTGCAGCCAATCCAAAAAATATCTCTTCACAGGTGCAGCCGTGCAGGCGAGGGGTTGTTAAGTGTTCACTCCATGGCGAGGTGGGCTCACACTGATATGTGCATAGTTGTTCATAGCTTTACATTAAATTAAATGAGTGAAAAGCAAGAAAGACAGCAACTAGAGGCTATTGTCCTTATCTCTTCTCTTCCCTTCTTTACTCTCCCTCCCTCTCTCTAATCAGTGACCCCTTTCTGCTCATTTCCCTTGTAGCCTCGCCTTTCATCAGAACTCCATATCTTCCAAGCTTTCGGCGAAAATAAAGAAAATTAACGAGAAAGAAAGGCACTATACGCCACTATGGATGGTGCTGTCTCGCCTGAACTTGAGTCAGAAGCATCTCCAGAGCTCACACCAGAAGTTCGAGAATCTAAGAAGAGGTGGGTTGAACTTTTTCTGCTTGGAAAAAAATGAATAGAGAAGCCAGAATTTTTTGTCTCTGGTCATTTCCAATTTTGTGATAGTTGGTTTAACTGTTTGCCGAGCAAGTTTTGAGGTGTGCATGTTGCAGGAAAATGGTGGAGAAAACAGTTGTGAGGGTGAGAGTTGGAGAGAATGTCAGTAAAGTGAAGAATGAAGGGCCACCATCGGACTCATGGTCTTGGAGGAAATACGGACAAAAGCCTATTAAAGGATCTCCTTATCCGAGGTGAAATTTAACTGAGTGCATGCCTTGTGATTTCATTACTGTGAGCTCTGCTCATTCGAATGGACTCCATTGTCTGTCTCAGAGGCTATTACAGGTGCAGCACATCCAAAGGTTGTTCGGCCAAAAAGCAAGTAGAGAGATGCAGAACGGACGCTTCGATGCTCATCGTCACCTACACTTGTTCCCATAACCATCCAGCTCCAGAATCACGCTCCACCGCTCAACAATTCAAAGAATCAAGAACTCAAACCACCCAAGATCTCCCACCTCCTACTTCAAAGGCGGAAGACAAGGACCAGGAGGAAGAGAAGAAAGATCTCCAGCTTATGACAGCTAGTGATCGAGGTGCAAATGAAGAGAATTTTCGTTACTTGAAATCCCCGATAGGCTGTTCTGAAGATATTATTATCGACCACGAGGATCCTTTCGAACTGAACTCAGAGAAAACCCATGAGAGGATAGATCTTCTCTTGGAGGAAGAGCCCCCATGTTGTTCTCAGCTCAAGAACCTCTCAACACTGAAATCGGAAGAACTTGACTTTTTCGACGAGCTCGAAGAGCTACCCATGTCTCCGTCTTTGTTGAACTTTATGAGGAACAATTTTTCCGGCGAAAGGATTCCGGTTGCCCCGTCATGAAATGTAACTAGAATGTTCATATACACGCTATACCCATATCATTTATATTTGTTCTCTGTTTTTATGTATATCTCAGATATTTTCGTCGAGGAGAAAGTGTGATTGGCAAATATGGAGAGTGCATAAGCTAGGCCCTTGCAGGGGAAGCAAGTGGAAGCTGCAGCTCAGCTCAGAGACAAGGGCAGTTTCGTCGTTTAATTTAATTCAGGCAAAATGAGATCTATCGATCTTTAACCGTGTAAACTTTTGTCCATTCAGAGATAACATGAGATTCACGAGTTAGTGCCGAAGTATCTTTGCCGAATGAAGTCTCTGTTTTTTTTTTTTTTTTGCCGTCAATGGTGCCTTAGATGAAAGAGAAAGCCACTCTTCTTCTTATGGGGCAGTTGAGAGGTGTTAAGGTGATATTATTTGGTGCGATGATATTGGAGCAGTTTATTTCATGAACCAATTCGGTACGGCTTTGTTGGCATTACTCGATGAATAAACAAGATACCAATTTATGAGCTTTTTATACTCAATGGCAGTGAGACTTGCATCAAGTGTTTGGTACAGTAGTTTATACGTCATAGCGCATTCAAAAGCCGGAAGATTCCACGATATGACAAGACAAGATATCCTGGTGATTGGGGAAGGCATTCAATCACGTCGTTATTAGCTATAGTGCACCACTTTGTATGGCATGTCGCTGCTTATTTACCGAACTCGAAGGACTCGTGATATGGGCTAGTCGAATCTGATTTAGTCCTTGTCCACTTAGGTCCTAATTTCCAAGAAATTCGTTTGAAAAAATATATTTGAATATAGGTTAAGTTTTCTACGTCAGCCTGATTCTACCAAGGCTTAAGCCTTAAAGTCAATCCTAATAAATGTTTTCTACGAATGTTCAAACAGCGGTCACCAAAAGTTGTTCCAACAGTCGGCCCTGATAATAGAGCAATCATTTTAGCCTGTTCAGTTTTTGCTTTCTCTAAGTTATGGTAGGTTTTTGATAAATATACTAAGATTTTCATGACGAAACAGTTTGTTTCTTGTTCAATTTAAAAAAAAATTAAAAATTAAGTTTTCGAAAATAACAAAAAAAGATGTTAGATTCAAGACTTAAACCGGTTGAACTTCGTTCAACTTTAACAGGCCACTTGACATGTAAAATAAAAATGAAAATAAATTTAATTGAATTAAAAAATAATTTTAATGATTAAAAATATATTTATATCATCAATTCAAATCATAAAATAATAAATAGTTAAAATAATAAGAATATAGTAGATAAATAGATAATTGCATATCTCAGTAAAAAATGATTCCCTCCTAAATAAACCAAATGACCTGAATCATTCATTCATTTGAAACGATTTTCGTCAGAAAATTTATTACGTTGATATCGATTATAATCAACCTCGGGTCTGCACGTACTTAACTTTTATCATTTTTATTTTCACAAAACTGTGATGATAGCATGAGCATATCTCACATTAATGATCGTTTACCTGACCCTACAACCTGGTGACTTGTATCATTTCATCACCAAGTTGGCGCATAACATTTTTGAACATCACCAGTCATATTACAAATTCAACTAAAGCTGTTAGCCAAGGTTAAAAAAAAAAATCACTTAATATAACTAATCATCATAGCATAACTAAAATGCACGAAGGACAAAAGCTTGCTGGGAACCTATTGCTCCAGCATCTCCGTATAAAGCAAACTGGAAAATGAAATTCTCACCACCTTCTTATACAGTTGGACAGATACGAACATCAATATAAATTAAACAATGCACAGATGGAACGAACAGCCAAAATGATCGTTCTAGTTTTACACCAAGACGTTTGTCCGCCTTAAGGTCCATTACTCTAAAAATTCAGGCAGTAGCCTGATCTATGCCCTCTGCAGCAGCAGTTAATGGCTGAAGAGCTTTTAGAGGATTCATAATGACACCATCGATAAGTCCATATTCTTTGGCTTCTTTTGCACTCATGAAGAAATCCCTGTCCGTGTCCTGGTTAATCTTCTCTAGACTCTGGCCAGTGTGATAAGACAGATAGCCATTCAGGTTCGCTTTATGATGCAGCATTTCATTTGCCTGAAAGATTATGACAAAAAATCAGTTTTTTCCGAAAAGGATTATGATACTTATCGAACGAAATCAATACATAAATCACTAGTGGAGCCTGTCTAGGAATTTTAACTAATTATCAGGAAGTCTGGAACCAAATACTTAAGCTTAAGATGTAACAAACAACCTAAACTACTATTGAACATTTTAGCACTCCTTACTCAACTAACCACGGGAACAACTCAAGGATTCTGATTAATAAAATGAAGTTGGAAATGCCAAATGTCACAGGTGTCAAAAAAAAAAAAAAAACAGTTTCAAATCCATACTGTATAAACTGACTTTACGCAAGCTCGCACACACAAACATAGAGAAAGACATAAAAAACATACTAGGGGCCAACTTCTGAATATTGGCTATATAAATAACTTGTACTTCACCCAGTGCAAGCACATCAAGCTCAATCATTACAAAATTGAGTCTTAAAAAGAGCCAGAAGAATAAACCAACTATAACAAATTAATTCAGAAATCTAACAGTAAACAAGTAGTTTGTGTTAGGAATCATTGGGGAAAAAAGGATCAATACCTGAATATCTATGTCGGTTTGGCCTCCTTGAGCTCCACCAAGCGGTTGATGAATCATTATCCTTGAATTAGGCAAGCTGTATCTCTTTCCTTCACGAAAGAGGGAGCAAGGGACAAGGGATCAAAAGAATTCTTCTTCCTAGGAGAAAAAATGACAACGAGATCTACCAAAACAGATATTAAAAGGGGGCAAAATATGCAGTGATTGCGAGATAGAGGAGTCATTACCTTTAGTCCCTGCGCTAAGGAGAAAGGCCCCCATACTGCTCAAGAAAAGGCCATAGATATTATTATATTAAGTATTAATGGGGAAAAAATATCTAAAAACCAAAAGTAACAAGCATGCGATCAACTATGTATCACCCCCTTCAGAGACATTATCAATATTAATGGGGAGTTTGAATTCTAGGAACTATTCTATACACAAAACTCACAAGTATTTTAGATTTTATCTCATTGGCATATCCAATCACTTTCCCCAAAAAGAGAGGCCGTATCTTCAGAAGAACTGGGAATACGATGAATCTCAGATCTAGAACATAAATCAACAGGGATGCCAATTGTTGAAAACGTCATGAATTTAAACACCATGGTGTATCTCTAATAATAGCCAGTACGAATAAATTTCAAAGCCATAGCAAAAGAAGCCCTCAGGCTTTGAACTTGACGTATACAAAGATCAAGTCAGAATTAAGGCAATGCCATCCGAAAGAAGGATAAACCATTACCTAGCTGCTAGTCCGACACAAACAGTTGACACATCAGGTCGGATGTGTCTCATTGTATCAAATATCGCCATACCTACAAAAAGAAAACGAATCACTATTTTTCATACTATATATATATATATATATATAGCAAAGACATACAAGACAGATACTTCAAGAGCCATTACCGGCTGTCACTGATCCTCCAGGAGAATTTACATACATGACAATATCCTGTTCAAAACATATCAAACCAGTCAGTTGAAAAAAAAAATTCTAGCATAGCAAAAATTGAAGGTAAGCACATACTAGAAAGAATCAAAGACAGATTCGAGGAGATAACATATCAAAATCACGAAATACCAACATATTAGTATTTGAAGTTACACTCCAGAAATGGAAAGGATTATTTTGAATAAACTAATATATGAGAAGATAAATCAGATTTTTAGTGACTAGATTGAAGAACAGACCTTGTTAGGATCAACAGCATCAAGGTAAAGAAGCTGAGCAACTATGATATTAGCCATATCATCATCAACTGCTCCACCACAACGGATTATTCTCTAAATCCAACAAAGCTTATAATCAGTAGTTAAAGACCAGAAACTGAATAGTCAACCATAAGTAACATTTAGAAGAGCAAAAGATGGCCTACATATTGAAAAAGCTGACTTATAACACTCTGAAAACGCTCCTGCACCATGGGGGGAGGACCTTGTCCTTGCGCATAAGTAGGGAAATATGGGGAAGATGGGACTTGCAAATCATCTCTTCAAGAACATTTTAAGAGCAGTCAATAAAAAGGCTTAAACGAATAACCCGGGGGGGGGGGGGATTATACCTTATGGACCAAATGCCCTGGCGCGAACTCCCCTGAGGTGCCCAAAAATCATTGCCGTGCACAGCCTTCACAGGAGAGCTTTGAGTATTCCTTTTATTTCCTACCAATTTCTTTAATTTCCTGCAAGTCATATAAGCTTTATCCTCCGCATAGATATAACTAAAAGGGATAGCAGAAGATATTCTCCTCAGCTCGAGCCCCAGTTGCAAGAGTATAAACAAAATGAGGAACATACATAATATTTCATCCCGAACACATCAATTAACAATAAATTTTAAAACCCATGACCCAAGATTAATGACAGACTTCAGTGGAGAAATCCAACAGCTTTGTTAAACGGAAGCAACTTTGTTCATATTATAACATGATGGCATCCCTTCTCATGAAGTATGCTTCCTAGTAAAATCTATGCAGTTTTGTATTCATTCATCTTTCCTTTCGAAATCTAAACCAATGATGATCGTCAAGATGGTCCGATCTCACCATTATAACTAGCACAAAAGTTTAAAGCCATTGCTTTTATCAATCCTTCCCTCATTTCTCTTGAAAGTATAAAACTTACAGCATTCATTCAGACATACGCGTCAATCATAGCGTAAAACATTTAAAAAGGGAAAAAAAATACAAATTTCCGGCCTACAAGTGTAGAAACGGAATCTTAAGGAAAATTACCTCGACCTGAAATGCTCCGAGGAGAAAGAAAGCTTCTGAGGGTCGGAACAAGAACTAGGGCTCGACGAAAGAAAAAGAGGGTTGAATCTAAGAGAGGATGCCTGGGTGGAGACGCATGTATGAGCCATTTCTGGAATTGCTTCAAGGCTATGGTATGGAATCCACTAATTTTGGGGCTACGGCAGGCCTTATCCGCATGAACGAAGGGCACGACGGCGCTCAGAAGCAACAGCAAGTAGAGCGTTACCAGGCAGAAAATAAATTTACGGCGTCCGTTCTCAATGTACGTGGCCTCACCACGCAACGTACGAACAGCCAAAGTTCTGTTTTTCTTGGAAAATTTTAATTTGTCTTATAACTTTTTTTTTTTTAAAATTGTGTTGCTATCTTTTCCTCGTAAAATACCTCATGCCACTTGTTAATGCATTCTTAAAAAATAGAATATATTGATATTATAAGCTTAGAGTGAAGGAAAATTTTTAAGCCCTACTGTATGTACCACGTCATTTTGGACCCTTGTAATGTGAAGATTTTTTTTTTCCTAGTTACAAGATATAAGGAGATCGAATCAATAAACATAATACCAACATACTTTTATCCATTTATTTATTATCGCAATATATCCATAATTTATTGAGGTGGCTGTAACAATATGGGTTGAGAATCAAGTATATATATATATATATATACACGCACACACATACATATAATCATGACTCATTAGATGTGAAATGAATTAAATGATACTATGCCTCATCACGATTTGTCTTTGAAAGAAATCCAGACACTGAGAGAATGATAAGTTAAAAACCATTGACATTGAGAGTATCAGGTGCTTCCGACCACAAGTATCTTAATGCAGGTTGACACTGATATACAGGGGCACGTCTTTAATCAGATTCATGATTTGTATATTATCAAGTTAATTTTCATGCAAACAAGGTAAACGCTATTCATTTTCATTTAACTTCTGATGCCATCAGACAAGATGCATGATACAGCAAAGGAACAGTCCGCAACACGAGCTCTGGCAAGGGCTCAAAACAAAAATGCTAATCGCTCCATCCTAAATCTACACCTAAGAGAGATATAAACACTTGGGATGCCATTTATAACAGGCAGAAGCCGGCGATAGAGGAACTCTTGGTAACATCATCAACTGGTATTTTCAGGCAACATCTGCTCCCGTACTGCCTTGTAGCATTGGAGACTGCAAAGTGGGAGCTTTGACTTTGAATCCCGATACCTGTACGGGTTTGTACAGGTTGGACCCGCACACTTCTCTCGTGGCGGAGGATACCTGTCACAAGACCATACAACTCAATAAATTTACATGCATCACTATCCAACTTATGATTTAATGTAGCCAAACACATTCTCACGCAGACAGATTCAGGACTAAGTTCTGTTTTTACACTGCTTTTCTTTTCTCTGTTCGGGGATTTCTTACAATCTATGATCGATGATGACCAAATAAAACAGGAAAAATAGAATAAATAAATAAATAAAATTTATGTGTCTATCCATCCACCCGCCATGTCTTAATTCAAGACCAAGTTTCATTTCTCATTTTTATTTTTCTTTTCCAAGACCAAGACAGATAAGAGCTTTCTGGATAACAATCAAACAATAAACGTGCATCGAATTTACGACTTAATTAAATTAGCAAAGTTAGGCACCCGCAAGGTTTGGAGTTGAATATGCTAGGGAGGCCCATCTCCTCAGGAAATGTCACAGTAGTCCCAGCAGGACCCATCACATATCTGATGGTGTTTGATGCAAGCATTCGGGCGTTGGCTGCCTTCTCCTGTGGGAAAAAAACTCAATGAAAACTGTAGCTATATAGAAAATTGAAATAACTAGCATTTGAAAATTTTCCGATGCTGTAAAACCTGTGCCAGTTCTTCTTGGCGCTTCCTCATTTTCTCTTCTCGTTTTTTCCTACTGGAGTCTTGACCAAGTATTTTTCTGATAGCTTCAGCCTACAAGATGAATCCAAACAGTCCTGAGTCTTTCAGCGTGAAATCAGATACGAGAAAGAACATGGCAAATTAGAAAGAACAAAAACAAACCTCAGATTCCCTGGCAGCTTTCTCCACTTGCATTCTGCGCCTCTGGGCAGCCTCTGCCTTCTTTAGTTGTTGTTCAACTTCTGAAAGCTTCTCCTTTTGCTCTGCAATTATGAAGTAACAATATAAATAAATTAAAAGAAAAGTCACATGGCTGATGAATGTGGTATGAAATTCAAATAAGAAAATATTTTGGATCACACACGGCAAGCATAAGCCAGGGGGGGAGAAAAAAGAAAACTAAAGAAAAAACATTAAAAACGTCTAAAATGAATAAGGCATCCTCCTATGAGTTTGTCAAATAAGAAAATAGTATGGTGATAAATTCTCACTCCTAGGAGGTGCAGGTGGTAATCCATTAGGAAATTCGATTAAACTTGAACCAGATGCCGAGGCATCTTTGCTTGACTGAAGAGCCCGTTGGCGAGTTGTAAGAGTTATTTCCCTTTTACTGTCCATCAAAACATCAACAGATTCCTTCCTCTGCTTTTTCTTTTTCCTCTCATCATGCTCTCCATCAGACCCGGTCTCCTCATCTTCCTCATAATCTGTATCCCCAAAAATTCTATCTGCTCTGGACTTTTTCTTATCATCTTTGCCTGACCTTAATGTGGCAGCATTTTCCATATTAGAGACACTAGAAAGTTTTCTATGTTTCTTGCTTACTTCTTCATCATCTCTATAAACTGCAGAGACTTTTGAAGTTTTGAGCTTTTCCAAGTACCGGATCTCATCATCCTCTTCCTCCTCATCACTAAATTCCCCATGCCGTACACTTCTCTTGGGTACTCTCTTGCTCTTACGAACTGGTTCAGACCTGTCCCCTTGGTTGCCTGATGTATTCTTCCCCAAAGTTCTCCCCATCGCAGAATCCTCCTTCCAGAAACCAAAACCACCCTTAGAGAAATCCTTCCATGGAACACCTTGAAGCCCACTCCTCTTATCTGAAGAAGAATGGTTCTCATCTGAATTTCCCTATAACAACACCAATCAATGGAAAGACTAAATGAGATAATATTAGCTTAAAAAGAATCGAGTAATTATTACCTTCATAAATAATAAATCAAGGCACCAGATGCTCTTCCATACAAGTAAGATTTATAACTAACTTGGTAAGACAAGTAGCCACAAAAATAAGTATGACTCGTGAACATCAAGAAATCAATAGCAAAATACCTTTTGCTTTGGACGTGGTTTGAAAGAATCGGACGTCTGAGAGCTCTTTACAGTCAAATCACTTCCTGATGTGCCATTAGATACAGAGTTGGCTTGAATAGTGCGTGTCACACCACCAACTTTGAGTTTAACCTTCTTGACCCTGCTTTCATTCCCTAGTGAATCAGTAGGGACTCCTGACTGTTCCGAATTCAGCCACTCCAAATTTCTTCCACCATTTGCATCCCCGGATTTTGATTCTGATTCCAAGCTATCCTTCAATTTGCTAGAGCCTCTCCAATTAGCTGGAGCAAGGACACCTTCACTGCAGCGCCTATTAGATAATCCATTCTGTCTAGGTTCATTATCATAAAACGCATGGAATCCTGCATCATTTTTTTTATTCTTATGGGACTTATCATTTTCGGGTGCAGTAGAAGAGGAGGCTCGAGAGAAACATTGGTTAAGATTAAATTCTTTTCTTTTAGAATTAGAATCACAACCAGCATTCTCATCACTAGAAGCCTTGGCCACTTCATCAGAAGGTGATGTAGATGACAAGTGGTGCAGATCGTGTCCTTCAGAAACAGGTTGTGAATCAGGTCGAGGCCGGCGACTAGTTTGACTCCTTCTCTTCCTTACAGCATTGTTAATACCATCAAACCGTGTACCACCTAAGTCTTCCATTAGAAAATTGTTATGATAGCACAGCTTTTCCGTTGCTTCTTCCACAACTGCAATGATGGTAAGTTGAGGAAAGCCATTACAACCACATAACTCATCAATAATTACATAATTAGGCCCTTCTCTTTTCAGAGTAACCGACATAAGAGCAAAGGGAAGACAGTATTTTCTATTAATTTAGTAATCTTGAAAATAATTTAACGCATACCAGAATACAATGTATTGTAGAAAATATCAAAACAAATGATGTTAATGTAGACGCGATGGAATCCCAGAATGACTTTAAGAAAACTCACAATAGGCACAAAAAAGGTAAATTGAAAGAGGTGGCGCGAAAGCGAACTTTCACCGAAAATTAAGATGCAACCAGGAACCGAATTCAACACAAGTAAGAACTGCCAATGTCGAAGGCCAAGAGTTCGAAGAAAATTGATCACCCTAAAATTATATGACGATTTAGAAAACCAAATCAAGCAGTAGAAACCAGTATAAAAACATACTTCATTAAGAGTAAAGAGACCAAAGTCACAAGCAATCCCAACATAATCAAAAGTAGCACATTACCATCTGTGCAGGCAGAAAATAAAAAAGAATAAAAATAAAAATCCAACCACGATGAATCACCAACCTTTCACATAGGGAAAGGCTGACGATCTATCACGTAAATAAAAAACACACCCAACAAAACAGAATGACAAGAATACCAAAGACGAAGCGCCGCAGAGAACAATTGGCATTGAAATTTGAAATAGCAACAAACACTAATGGTTATATTACCTCAGAGGTGGAACACGATTGCAGATGGCCGTCCTCGATCAAAAAGATCGAGAACCTAGCGATAAGCAGGAGAGCCAAGGAGGGAAAACGAAGGAAAAGAAAAGCAGAGAGCTTTGGAGGAAAATGTCGGGCAGAGGCGGAGTGGAAAGGACAAGTCGGAGTGAAATAGCGAAGGGAATAGAAAAGGCGAGGGAAGAAGAAAGAGATGAATTTGGGGATTAGGGTTAGAGGAGTTGGATAGGAATAGGAATAGTGGAGAGAGAGTGAAGGTGGTGCTGGTGGTAAAGGTGAGAGAGGACTAATTATCTCCTTGTTCACCATTTTTTGCTAATTCCACACCCAAACCCACCTATGTGTTATTTTTTTTGTTTGATGCAGTCACTCGACTCGGACTCGTCGATCCTACTCACCCACTCTGTGTCTCTGTCTGATGCCCGACCCTCATACTCCTCCCTCCCCTTTTTATTTCCCTCCCCTTCATGCTCGCACGGTTATGCTGCAACTATGTGCGCATGCCAAGCGCCCCCGGCGTACGTTAGATCCTTCTCTTCTTGCCTTTATTCATCACAGCGTGTTCTTTGTCATTTAAATCCGATATTTTTAATTACCCTTTTTAAGTTTTAATCATCTGATTAATTTTTTATAAGAAAATGATATTCCCTTGAGAAAAATACTGTCTAAATTGTTCCTCAAACAAACGCCACATAATTTCTCATATTCTTTTGAATTCCATTTACTAAAAAATACAAATTGTATTGAAAAAATGACACAAATTCTTCCAAAATATATACAACCGCGAATTGAGATAATTACCGAAAAGTTTTAAGGTATTTTTCTGACACAATTTATTTTTGTAAAATTACCGTATTGCCCAAAAGAATCTCGCCCAGCTCAGCCCTCTTTTGCAATGGTATACCATCAATACCCAACTCCTAAACTCTGTCTTCTTCGTTGATAGCAGCATTCTACTCCAGGCACTACTTTGTTTAATACCATTTCAGAATGTATGAATTAAATATGGAAATAAACCTCAAAATATTTTTTAAAAAAAAAAAACACCATGTCCAAACCACTTTCTGCTTCCTCTAGAGTTTGTCCCCATACATTTTAGTCAAAATTTTCACTATACTCTCAACCTATACTAATCAAATGAAAATTAGGAATGAATCAATAGATTACAGACCATTCATAAATCCAATCGCCAACGATCATAAAAGTAAAAAAAAAACATTAGTTAACACAAAATCTAAACAGCATGAAGTGGAGCATGAATCACTGGAACAACAACAACAACAAAAGGAGGGTCCGGTGTGAGGAGGACGAGGAGGATGACTTTCGAACTCGGTCATAGCCGTCGAGTGGAGGAGGACATTTGAACTCACATGGAAGAGGACCTTTGAACTTGGATCTACAAAGGAGAAGAAGGTTTGCAAGCGAGGTTCAAGTTGAGCCAACAATGAGGAGATCTAAAACTAGCGAGTCTTCACACCTTCAAATCTGAAACCATACTGCAATATAAGGTTAAGGTCCCATTTGCTATGATTAAAGAGTTTTTAATGAAATTAAAATTAAAATTAAAATTAAAATCATAATAAAATTAAGCTATAAAATTTTGTTGGGCATGGTAGAATACTAATATAATTTTAATAATTATATATGTTTCAAATGAGAAAAATACCAAAATGCCCTTTGCAGAAGAAGAAGAAGAAGAAAGCAACAAGCTCCAGCACTCCCTCCCACTGCACACAGCTTCCGGCAGATTGCTTCTTCACCATGACAATATTTTGATATGTTTGCAAGAATTTCAAATTCAATCAGCACACACAAGATTTGTGAGATTTTATATTTGCAATATTTCTAGATTCGATCAACATAAACAATACATGCTAGATTCTCCAAATAAATCAGGTTTAAAAAATATCTCCTACGGTTGAAGAAAGAAAAGTGAACACCGATCATCAAGCCCTCCATACTAAAATCCTCCAATCAACCACTTCATGGCAAAATTTCAAGCCACAAGGAGAAGTCGGTGGTTCGTGAGGGTCACCGTAAGGTCATGAGGGACTTAGATTGGGTCACCATAAAATTCCAGGAAAGATGCATCGTCAAATGGGTAGCTCAAGATCTTAGACGATTGTGTCGTCTACCGTGATGGCCGCATCGTCCATCGTGATGGCGGCATGGTCCATTGACGAAGTTCCTCCAGTACTGCTGTCTTCCACGGGTTCATGCTTGACAAAGGTAGAGAAACAAAAACCAGGAATGAAGAGAAAATAAATTGCAACAGATCTCTAAGGAACAATACGCTAGAACCACCTTCTCCAAAAAAATCGCAACTGGTTTCGCACATTGGTGATGAGCAAATGAAAGTGTCGCCATTAGGGGGGGGAGTGCTTAAGAGAAAGATGGGGGTATAATGGACACACATTTCAATTCTTGAAAAACCAGCTAGATTTCATGGGGTTTACCAAAGAATTTAACTCTGGCCATTTTGATTGAATTGAATTTCATACGAATTACAAATCATGCATATCAAACACACTGATGCGTGAATTTTAGTTTCAATTCCATTTCCCAAGTTTTGGTTCTCCTGTACCAAACACGACCTAAACCGGCTAGTGCTTCATCATAGAAGAAGGTTGAGCTGGGGATTCTTTTTGGGCAATACAGTAATTTTACAAAAACAAATTATGTTAGAAAAATACATTGGGTTTTCATAATAATTACCTTAATTTATGATACTTCTTTATTATCTATATATTTTGGAGAGATTTTTGTATTGCTTTTCCAATTGTATTAAAGAAAAATACACAGGACAGAAGGGGAAAAAAAAATAAGAAATGGGAATCTACACTTGTAATTGTTTTTTCATTTACTTTTTACATGAATTTGACATAAATATGATATATCAATAATACATTTTTTTAATAAAAAGATCAAAAGTATATTAATAAAAAGTAGAAAAATGAAAGGTTGCGAAAAAAGAGAGAGGCGATAACGGTACATTAGTGGAAAAAAAAATAAAAGACAAATTAATAGTCGGATTACTGCTAGATTTTTAGATGATATATCAATGACAATAATACACGATATGGAATAAAATTCGGGCGAAAAACTGACACCAGTGTGTGTGTTTTTTTTTTTGGGGGGGGGGGGTTACAATAAGATTATACAGGCATATGGAGGTCCCAATAAGCTCGGGCATACTAGATAATCATGCATTTAAAAATTAAAATGGACAATTATGATGCTTCCCCCGCGCCATGCCAAAGATGTAAAGATGATTTGTTTTCTATTCTCTTGTCATCACGTACTTATAAAAACATAAATAAAAATCTATCAAAATTTTGAAATCGTTACTTGAAGATTAAGATTGCAAACAAGACTTTCTAAAACAAACAGGAAAATCAGACCGACAAAGATAAACCGGAATTTATGTTAGGAGCGGGTTATAAGCTGATTGCTCATTTGAGGAAGTAAAGATCGGCTTGAGTGATTCTTGGGAAAAATTAGCCTGCAAAATTATATCTGCATGATATGTTCAACGCAGTATGTTCATTCCAGACACCAAATGGCAGTGCCATAATCACGAGTCTCTTTATGGGAAGATTGGCTGCTTATTGTCAATACCTCTCCAAGAGGTTCACATTAATTTCCAATCTCGAATGGCAACAGAGATAAAAATAAATTATTAGAAACTATGAATCTGGATATTAACGTATCGGTAATTCGGTATGGTAGTAAGTAGTATTGCGTGGGAGGAGCAATAGCTTGATAAATTAATGGCGACAATCACCATCTGATTAGTGCATCGAACTTTATAAATTAATTCGGCAAGGCTGCCATGATGTCCAAGCAGTTGCCGCCGAACTGGAATATATGTTTAGATTGACGAGCAAAAGGGAAGTCAGCTCCTGTTTCTTTAAAACTATCCTCACAAGTTTGTTGGTAGGAAATCACAGCACCAAGAGCTATCCGAGCATCATACATGGCCCTTGTAGCCACCGACCGCAATGCAGTTTGAATGGAATCCAGGATATTTTCATACTGTTCTTTGCATTCGCCAAGGCTATCGGATAAACTTTTAGGGTTGTTTGGTTGGGCCATCAGCCTGTCGATGATACCAAGGGCTCTCCTGGTGTAGCGGGCGGTGGCGTCAATTTGGGCGACGACAATCTGATAGGGATCCATACGACCATGCAGTGTGGACAAGATGAGTCGAACGCAGAGGCTCGAGTTCTCTGCTTCTTTGCATAGTTGCGTGAGCTCGGGAGGGATTGCGTTCAAAGGAGTGGCGTTGATGCAGAGGAGAGAAGAGAGGGTAATAATGAAGAGAAGCCTCCCATTAGAATCCATGGCTCGTTCTATCCTCTGCAGCGAAATGCGTCGTCGGCCTTGGAGAAAAGAAATGCAAGGTAGACCGAAGCCTTGATTTAGGGAGACGATCAGGTTGGATTTTAGCCTGCTTTGTGCAGAAATAGGATTCCTATGAATAAGCTTTGTAGCTTGTCCTGAAATCAGCCTAAATCCTATTTTCATACTAAATGAATCTAAACCTCAATTTTAAAATCTAGTCCGGTAAGTTCGGATTCTGCCACCCCATCCAGCCCGCCACCTCGACAATCTGTAATGGCAAAATTATCCTCAAACAATTCTCAACTCATTTCGTTCTGTACTTTTTTTGGGCGAAAATGAACTTCGTATGAAAATTGTACATCAGAAGTCTGACTCTGCCACTAGGCTTGTATTGGCCAAACCCAAGCACTCACAGGGATTATAAGATTGTTTCTGAAATTAAATCCCTGATGGCTCGTGATTGTATAGTGTCTGTTAAGATGATCTTGTGAGATGTCAACGCCTGATACACTCGTCATTGGGTTTCACTCATTGTCTTCTCCCTTTTTGAACTCTTTAGTTTTGCAGCAGGACTGTAACATTGCTATGTAATTTTTGCTTCCTTTGTTATCGAAATTTGCACATATCAGAAAGCCTGGAGTATTTCGTTCTGTATTTGATCTTATCTGAGCGAGACTCCATACATGCGGTCCTTCTAAAGATTTTAACATGAACGGTCTTTAAAATTTTATTTAGTTTCATAAAATTATAAGATAACGTAAACACTTTCTTCGATTTTTTCTTTAAATTCAAAATATTTTTTTAAAAAAAAAATAAAAGCACGTGATATCAGCCCAATATTTTTGCCTGCCAATTCTCCATACTCGACACAAAAATCACAGGATAAAAACCAATCCAAAAGATAGTCAGCAAAATCCGCGATCTATCACGATTATTTAAAAGGCTGGAAATTTCAAATGAAAAGGATCAAATTAAAAGAAAACCTACAATGCATATATTTATGTACAAAAACTGATCCTCCAGAACCACTATCTCATATTCTCGTTGGGTAAAAACATGATGACCGTTTGCCACAAAGGATCTTAACAAGCAATAATAATAGAATCTACACCCTCAACAGCCAAATTTGGGAAACTGCAATCCTTGACTGAAAAATGCCGCCGCTTATGAATCCTAGAGGCATGGAAAAGAGAGCTGCTTTTGATCGAGGTGAAGAACTTTGAAATGGATGCCGAGGTTAGCTTGCCTTTCCAAGTGTCATCTTCCTTCATGAAGATCTTCAGAGAAAACTGCCGTCCTAGAAACGTTGTCATTGTCAAAGACACTTAGACCAGAGTAGGCACCTGAAGAGAACATAGAAGATGTCCCATCGGACTCGAAAGTGGTGGAGGACTGTCTTAGGTTAGTTCTTGTATTGGAGGAGGCCACCATGGAATACTGATATTCGGTCATGCGCTGCACCATTTTAAGTGACTGTACCACTTCCCCCATTGTGGGTCGCTGGCTTGCTTCAGGCGCGACACAGGCTGCAGCAATAGTACAAACCCTGACAAAATCTTCCTTTGGATATTTCCCCCCCAGCCTTGGATCAGCAAGCTCTTCCAACCGGTCTTTATCTCTTAGGATTGGCCTTGCCTGAAAGGCATAACTTAGTAAGGATACAGTCTATAAAACATAAATCACTCGAGAGGGTTTGACAAGCATGATAAAGGATTCGTCAATGTATGGAACCAGCCCACATAACACGGAACGTTATTAACATAAAAATTTCTAAGAACACATGCAATTTCAATCTTGAGATATTTCAGCTAGGTAACTCAAAAAGCCAGATGACCATGATTTGAAAATGAGGGGGAAAATTGTGGGATTGGTCAAAGCGCAGAACTGACCCAAGTAACAAGGTTCTCTTGTCCAGCTGGCTGTGCCATATCAACAGGTTTCCTTCCAGTCAGCAATTCCAGCAAGACAACCCCATAGCTATAAACATCACTTTTAACAAGAAGGTGACCTGTCATGGCATATTCAGGAGCTACATACCTACATAGCAGTTTCATTATATCTTATTAAGAACCTTATTATATGGAAATAACAAGCCCAAGCAAGATGAGACTGGGACAAACCCGAATGTGCCCATGACACGAGTAGACAGGTAATTAGCTCTTCCTTCAGGTGCCTGCTTGGCAAGACCAAAATCTGCAACTTTAGCGTGGAAGTTGTTTTCCAGCAATATGTTGGACGCCTTGAAATCTCTGTGTATAACACAGGGCTGTGAGTCTTCATGCAAGTATGCAAGTCCTCTTGCGGCATCCAGCGCAATCTTCATTCTGGTATCCCAATCCAAAGGACAATTTATTCCCAAGGGACCTGTTGCAGAAATAAGGCCAATTTCAATCCCATGCATCTGAAACAAAAGATGCTTGATACACTGATAGACTAACAAAATCATGTAAATCTCAAGATTATTACTAAACTTGTAATTTGAGAAATCGTATTACCATGAAGCCAAGCCTCCAAACTTCCATTTGGAACAAGCTCATAGCATAATAGATTTTGTGATGAGTCACGATTGCTATAGTATCCCACCAATTTTACAAGATTACGATGATGCAACCGGCTAAGCATCTCAACCTCAACCAAAAACTCTTTATCCCCTTGTTGCCCTCCATTAGTAAGCCTCTTAATTGCTACCGTAGTACCATCATTTAAGACACCTTTAAAAACTCTACCAAACCCGCCTTCTCCAAGTAAGCTTGCTGCTTCAAAGTTGTTTGTTGCTTCTTTAAGTTCTTCATAAGCAATAAATCTTGTGCTGGTTGGATGAGGAAAAGACCCTGCAGCTGAAACTGCACCTTCTGTCCTTGGCTTCTCTATAGGACCAAGAGAAAACACTATCATTAAAATAAAGCTTCGAAGGATAGTAGGATATACAACTTTGAAAGATTACTATCAATGCCACAATAGAAGAACATAAAAAATCTCAATTTCTTTTGCTTTCAAAATGGGGTTAGTCAAAGGATGAGATTTCATTTCAACCCAAAAAAAACAATTGCACGTTGAGTCTCAATTCATGGGGTTAGTTAGTCAATGGATGAGATTTCATTTCATCTTACAGCCTACTTTCTCTTGCAGAAAAAATTTAAAACCAGCTAGGTTGAAATGTTAAAACGTCAGAGCAGTATTAAGTTTCTCAGTAAGGTAAGACATTTGCTCATTTGTCCTAGAAAGGTTGGTAGCAATAGAAAGGTAAGGCATTTACTATCAATGCCACAATAGAAGAACATACGAAATCTCAATTTCTTTTCCATTCATGGGGCTGGTCAATGGGTAAGATTTCATTTCATCTTACAGTCTACTTTCTCTTGCAGAAAAAATTTAAAACTAGCTAGGTTGAAATGTTAAAACGTCGGAGCAGTATTAAGTTTTTCAGTAAGGTAAGGCATTTGCTCATTTGTCCTAGAAAGGTTGGTAGCAAAGGTTGGTGGCAATAGAAAGGTAAGGCATTTACTATCAATGCCACAATAGAAGAACATCAAAAATCTCAGTTTCTTTTCCATTCAACATGGGGTTAGTCGATGGATGAGATTTCATTTCAACCAAAAACAAAAAAACAAAAATTGAACGTTGAATCTCAATTCATGGGGTTAGTCAATGGATGAGATTTCGTTTCATCTTACAGTCTACTTTCTCTTGCACAAAAAATTTAAAACTAGCTAGGTTGAAATGTTAAAACGTCGGAGCAGTATTAAGTTTCTAACTAAGGTAAGGCATTTGCTCATTTGTCCTAGAAAGGTTGGTAGCAATCTGATCATTTGCAAACTTCAGCATGTTAAGAAGACGGAATATTTTCCAACAAAAACGTCAACAGTTTTAGTTTCCCAATTCTGATTCTGTGGATAAAACCGTATGCTAGACCAAGTTTCATTAACAAGTCCATATTCAACTCCCAAAAGGGAAAAAAATATCAACTAATAATTAACCCCTCTCATCACTAGTACCTTAGCTCTGGAGTAAGTCCATTTAGCCTAGAGTACTCTGTATTTTCTCTGCATTCTTTATGATGTAGATTTTCTTTAAAGAGGGCCTGACATTTCCCTATTGAATGATTAGAATTAACTGAGTCGCCTCCCTTTTAATATCTCAATTATAAAAGGGTGACCAAAAATAATTTTCACAAGAGCTTCCTACCTAAGTTTTCATAAGAATGTGTAAAAATTACAGGCGAAAAATGAGAAATGAATAAATAAATAAAATCAAGGAGCTAGAATTAAAGATATTTACCAGTATCTATTGAGGGTCCTTTGGTCTTTGGCCTCAATCTGCATAAACAAAGTACTAGTACAGATGTGATGGCAATGAAGAGTATGCCAGCACCAATTCCAAGAATAGCATACAAACTTGAATGTCCTCTCCTATTTGAAGCACTGGCTGTTGAAGTTGCTGGTTTGTGATAAATAGGAGCTTTCATAGGTGATGCAACAGATGTCGGAGCTGCACTAACATCCAACAATATGTTAATATTTAAACAATAGACTACGGCTGCACATAAACACCTAGCTATTCGTTCTTAACCTGTCCATCAACCCATAGATACTAGTTTGAAATTATATCAGATATTAGGTCTAGAACTGAGTTTGAGGGGCCAACGAAACTTGTGATATAACAAATGAGGACAAACCATCAATTGTATTACGTAAGGCATCTCTGAACAATGACGAAACAAGATTAACCTGAAAGCATCTAACAGAATCAACAAGTGAATCACATGAATAAACTTACAGAAACAAAAGATAAAATGCATAAGCAAAGCTATGACAGAAAATGCATATCTCACAATATACAGAGGGAAGAAGAGAATTTCATGAACATCAAAGTTTTATGATCTGCATTTGCTGATGAGCAAACTATAAGACCTCAGGGTACATATATCTTTCTCTTTCACACCTCTCCAGCAGCAACCGTGAAATAAAACAAAAGGTCAACAATAAATGCAAAATTTTGCATATTTTTGCAACATAGTAAAGCTGTAGTAACGATAATCTTATGCAATTAAAAGCTTCATTACTAAGTGAATACAAGCATTAGCTAAATACCATCAGTACAATTATCATCTTGATATAAGTTTCAATTGTCAAGGACATCAAAGTATAATGATTTGGACTTACCTTGAGATGGAGGCGGAGGCTCATACCACGTCAAATTGAGAAGTTTGTAGTCACCCACCAATCTAGGGTCTAGTTGAATCTTGTGCATTGAAAGCGAAGAGTTTATTCTAGATGCTTCATTGGCAGAGAAACTGGTCCCTTTATGTGGAGTGATATCCATTGATATATTTAATGCTGATAAGGAGAGTACATAAAAATTTACCAATTCAATCTGGGAAATTTGCAACTCAAGTTGGGTAGCTAATTCGTCGAGGAAAAGATTCCAATTAGAGTTTTGGGAGACATTCAAAAGGAGAAGGTCTAGCTTTATGGGATACACGCAGTGACAACTCTTACTCCCTCGCTTCAACACCATGTTTTGTTTACAACAATCTGGCAGAATAAATGTAAACACACGTCATTGTCAGATTCAAGTTCCAAAGCTCACATTTTTTTTGAATAAAAGATGGTATAATGCTTCAATTGAAAGTTAATAAGCTATTTACAAAATAAATAATGCTTCATTTCATTTTGGTTCCTTTAGTTTGTTCATCAAATGATTTAGTTCCTTTATTCTAAGTTGATTGGCGTTGTCACCTCCAGTTGACTTAAATGCAGTTTAGTCCCTTTTTTCAGTTAAAACGATATTATCCCTTGAATCTTTTTTATTAGAGTAATTAAAACAATAATTAAATGGCATAATAACTAACTTCCATTAAGAGAAAAAAGAGTCTTTATTACAGAAACAAGATAGTTCAAAATGAAAATAGAAGATCTCAACAGTTCTAACAATAACATTAGAGAGGCTCTTTTCCAAACTATACAGACTAAATTGCTCCATCAAGCAAACTAGAAAGACAACAAGCACAGAAGTCCAAAAAATGGCCACTTACTGGAAACAGAAGGGGATAAGGGTGGCTGAGCCAAACCAGAAGGAATTGCGCCTGCTGTTGAATGCATTGGGGCCATATCTCCAAAACCAGAAGCATGAGGCCCTAATTCGCTGTCCTTCATGAATGGATTGGATGAATGTAAACTTGCCGGGGGGTAACCTGTACTCAAGGATGGACTATATAAAGGAGGGTGGGTAGGTGATGGTGTTGGAATTGGTCCACTGTGGGATGGTAGATGCTTTTGCCCATGGAGATTTGCTGGTAAGGGCAGATCACGAACAACCATAGTAGCAGAAGGTGGTCTAGATGGAGATAATGCATTAGAATCAGCCATTAATGCTAAGCAAGATAATACAAGCAACCATTTCAGCAACAGAGGTTGAATGACTTTTAAGGCACCTGCATCATTTGTAAAAAGTCAAACTCAATTTTTCATGATAAAAAATAAGAAAGCATTATACTAACATAAGACTTTCCATAGCTATTAAACAATAGCTTATGATTATTTAATAGCATGGTCTGAGCCCCAGGACTGTTTCTAAAATAGAATCAGAGCACAGACTGAAAGATAAAACTCAAGTCAAGCTAAGCTGTAAAATATTCTTCTAAAGAAAATTATGTCAGCTTTGGGCAACTGCCTCAGATACCATTAGTATATAATAATTTGAACAAGTTATCATCCTTCATATACAAAAAAAGCGCAGCAGCCCCCTCCCCCCAAAAGTAAGGGTCATAATTTGAATTCCATCTAGTGTCCTTTCCACCTTAAAAGGTTGAAGGTGGCTTAGTAAACCGACACCACTAACTGAAACCCAATTCCATGGACCCTTCCAAGTAAAGGAACTCCCTTTTCAACTCAGTGGGTTTTTAATAAATGGGTTTTTCATCTCAGCTTTCACAACCAAAGTCACGCTTGGGGGGGGGGGCGAAGCCACAAGGATTGAAAATCAGCTTCCATGTTTGAATAATTGTGGATAAAAAAGGAAAAGAACCGTCTTAGCAAAGCCAACACGTCTAAGCACACAAGAAGCTCTAAGATCATTAAGAGCAATTTGAGTAATTTACATCAGTTTGATATTGATAGTAATCAGCAAATGTAGAGAGACGAAGTGATGAAAATTCGCGCTCCCGAGATAACACGATTAGTATACGACAACAACATGCAGCTGACGAAGGACTTTCAAATTGCCTGATTCTAAATACCGAATTAAACAACCATGCGAGCAGAATTCAAGTCCATTCCGTTGCTTCCTGTTTCCTTAGTCATAAAAGTGCGTATGAAACTGCAAGTGAACGCAAAATGAAGGACGTCCAGAAATCTACATATTACCGATTGAGATAAAAACTGGGAGGGCCGACATCACCGAGGCCGTTGATTGGCCTTAACGCTCCAGATCTAAAGGATTTCGTTGAAATCAACGGCGGGGTTGGGCAAAAAAAAGTAGAATAGCAGAAGCAACACTATAACTGGGAGCAAGGAGCGCGAGTAACAGCAAGTGAAGGGGGATCTAGAAGCAGAAATACCGGCGCCGTAATACGAACTTGAGGTAGTAAACTCCGAGTCCAAGAATCCATAGCTGAGTTGAATCGGAGAGCCAACGGAAGATGACTACTAGTGTTGGTACGTGGATCTGTTATCACTTGCCAGTGACGGAGAAGGTCGTTTGTTTGGTTTGGGGAAAATGGATTAAATATTTTTTCGGCGGTTTTGTTTGGTTGCCGACGCGTGTGGATGCAGACGCGCACGCGGGCGTTAATTGCCTGTCACTATGTGCGCTGTAATGGAAAAGAACCGATTAACAGTAAGTAGATATGGAGGAAAAGGGAAATACGAGAGAGACAGTCAAGGCAAAGGACCTCGCTTTTCAGATTGCCTCGCCGTGAAGCATGAAGACGATCCTGTATAGTGTCGGTACAGTTCTATTTCTTGGTTATCAGAATCTGGACGTTGATTAACGGTAACATAGAACAAAAGGTACTTTGACTGGGCGCTTGCTGTATCTTTCCTCCTGCGTTATCTTGTCAGTTTAGATCCTCTTAGTTAAGCAAAAGTAATTGAATAGATAACAAATTCCGTTGACGAATCATCATCCGTATATTTATGGATACTCAATATTAACATCAAGCGTAAAATTAGGTATATTTCCTTGCAAATGAAGAACCATTAGACAAATTTTGTTGTTCATGATGGTGGTTTAAAAAAAAAAAAAGGGTATTTGGTCGCATACCAGTTTTTTATGAAATTTATATGTCTATTTTATTATACGATATTTTCCTAAACGTTAATGTATTTCATGCAGCATAAGGTCAGCAAATATGGTAATGTATTGATATTGATATACAAGTTAAAATATATATATATATATATAAAATAAATTGTGTGGTAGTAAAAGACAAAAAAAATATTATTAAAACAGAAAAACGTAAAATAAAAATTTTAAAAATAGTGAAGAAGAAAGGGTAAGATAATATCATATTCTTAAATTTCAAATGATATATGACTAACAATGTTTGGTTGAAGTATTTTACCTGGAAAAATAATATTTGATCGAAGCAGATTATCTGGCTTTAAACAAATGGAATAGCTAAAAAAGTTGCACTTGCATTGGTCCTGGCATTGAAATATGCACAATCCTCCCCGTACAGACCTCCAGTTGTTAGCTTCGACCAGAATTCCAGAAATGAGTTGATAGAGATAGATAAAATCTCATTTCTACATTGAGCAGAAACCAGATCCTCTAAATAAATATTCTCCCAATCATCACTCCTACATAACCCGAGCCACACAATAAATCCATCGGCCTAGAAAAATAAGGCTGACAAAGCATTTAAAAATTAATCTCCTTATAATTTTTGGGGGACAATTGCATTTATAAGTTCATGTTTAATTTCAGAATATATCTGTGCTTAATTCTTTCAATTATAAATTCTCTGTGCTTAATAACTTGCAAAAACTTGCATCCAAACTTCCATTTTTTTGTTGGGGTGTCGAATCCTTACTTTCTTTCCACTTCGCTGTTATTTAAAAAAAAAAGCGAGCTGCGGACGGTATGTCGATGAATAATTGAATATCATTGAAGTGAAGTATATAAACAAGTCAAATAGTGACATCAACATCTCTCCTCATGCAAGGCTGACAATAACAAGCTTTAGATAACATACAAGGATGAATCAGCACGGAAGCGGGAAAATGAAAATACAGGCCCTTCTTTTGGCCTGAAGAAAATCCACTAAAAGCTGCACCTTCAAACGGTGGATTTTGGGAGTCAAAAGACAATCAAATCTTGGGACACGGAGCTTCGTCTCTGTCTCTGGCAACGACTCTTCGCTTGGCAGCATGTGGACATGCCTCCAGGCAGGGCTCTTTCAGGATGCTGTCATCTTCCGGTAGTGGTGGGAGGACTCCAAATTTGAACTGCCATTTTACAACGATAAGAAACTTGTGGCACCAGTTTATCTTACTAGAGATATTGGTTATACAATTATTTTCCGTCAACATCTACGGCTTTAAGACACCAAACATTGACACACGCACAGTCAACTTTAACTCCGTTTTGCTCCTTAATTGCTGTTTTCAGCCACAATCAGTGATCAACCTTGGAAACCTAGTTATGTCCTAATGACACCTGCCGCGTCTATCTTCTAACGGTTCCAAAGATCTTGAAATAGATCACAATGAAGCCAAAGAAAATCTAACGAATGTCAATCTCTGTGGTTTCTGAAAGCAGCAAGAACTCGACTAGAATGCCGTCACTGTTGATAGATGACTATCTGTCTGAGTTTCTACCAAAATAATTATAAGACCATTCAAAAAAGTGGCAAATGGTCACCGAGGAGGGGCGAAAGAATTGAAACTGATCATTTTGGAATGGATACTTGAATGCGCTGTGTGTTGTTTCAAATAAAATTAGAAAATTCAACCATTTATTAAAACATGGAAGAAGAGAAGAACTGAAAGCGATCAAGAGGTTAAAACTCAATATCTGAATCCGGTGCTTCTAATAGAAAGAAACAAATGTGAAAATTTTAGGCAACATACAAACCCTGGAAAAAGAGGCCACTACATCAAATCAAAGGATGGGGCTGGTGGAGCTTTCAAGTCCACTGTCACTGTATGAAATATCAACCAATTAGAGTGAATAGAGAGAAAGGAACCTGCTAAATATGAATCTATATGCAAACCATCAACCCTATGCCAAAAAAAATTTCGCTTCTGGAAATAAGCATTGCTGATAAGTGGGAATCGAGGACTTAATAATCTAATCTGAGAACTTGTGTAGGTGTAAAGTGCGGCTATAGTCAGGGTTCTTCTAACGCGAACTCCCCCCCCCCAACAAAAAAAAAAAAAAAAACTCATTACTGCAAGAACCAAGATCCATAGAAGTATTCCGTCAGCAGATTGAAGGAATGATATTGTGAACTACGGAAAACAAATAAGAAATGCAAAATTATCCACAAGGAAGGACAGTGGCAACAAGTTTCTTGTGGCTAGCAGTGCCAACGACCAGATGACAGATATGATAGAGCACAGCGTTCCCTGAAAGCTAAAGTGACTGTAAGTTTCCCGAGGGCAGATAACAAATCCAAGGGAGTACAAATATTACCTGACAACTATAATCACTGAAGTTGGGCTCCATTAGCAGCGGAACTCCCATATGATCCAGGAAGAAAGTCTAAATTGGATATAATGAAAGTCAAATCTAAACATCCGAAGAATGCCACGTGAAAAAATTTCTGAGGAGCGCACAATACTTTCATCTCTTACAGTAACATAATGAATTGCAAAGAAGTATTTTGAAGAACCACAAACCTGTGTCGGAAATTTACAAGTATTGACGCAAATACTGGCACATTTGCTTTCTTCCAGGTACTTGCATCTTTCCACATAAACCTACACGAGTTCGGAAATACGTCACTCTGTAATAAATGTTATCATTCAGTCATATCATTATTTTTGGCCTGGACTTCACAACATTCATACTAGTTCTAACAAACAGCAGTACAGGTGATCACCCCACTACTGCAAGAGCCTCCGTTGTCCAAGTCGACAGAATTGATTTTGCAGGGACCCATTAGCCATTGACAGGTCAGTGCAGTAACCCTTGCTTGAAAAATAGAATATTGTTTAGAATATTTAAACATGTTTTTGGCTTCTAATGATAGAAATGAGATGTATCCGACTCACCAACCATCATAGCAGCAACTTTGCCCCCTCCTATAGGAGCTATGAGCATTTTATATAGCTCCAAAAGAAATGGAGGAAACAAGGACCTCAATACCCGTACCTGTCATCAAGGGTGAGTCAACTAAGTTTGCCACAAACACCACCATTTCAAATTCATAAGAAAACCCAAAAAGACAAATTATACTAAAAACTAAAGGGCAAGAAACGTCCGTTCCTATTTTATCAACTTTTTAGTTAAAAATAGATCAAGCTAAATCTTATACGATGTTTGTCTTACCCAAATCCCTGTTTGTTTGGACCAAAACTTTCCCTACTTTCCATTTATTATAGCATCACAATACTGATCTAAGTCAAAAAAAGTTCTAAGCTGGTCTTTGTTTTATCAAAACATAAATTTAATCCAGTGAGACGTGAATTATATTCTGTTCCATAGTATGTTCTGCGGCAGTAGAGGTTTACACAAAAAGGTCTAATGAGTTTGCATCGACCTGCTTGTTCCATACAAAACTAGGCGTGTCTGCGTGTTGTTCATGGTTTGTTTTGCCAATGGTCGAATGATGATATTGATATTAAATAGATGGCAACAGAAGAAAGAGCGCAATAAACTGATATACCGCTGCTTCGATAGTATCGATTCTTGTCCTGCCCTTCATCATTAGCTGGTTCGCAACTTCAATAAGTCCATCATATCCAGGTTTGTTTGAATCCCATCCAACCTCCTGAAAAGGGGTCGAGTGATGAATTTCTTTCTCGTTCCTCCCTCCTCCCCCCTGACTATGCTCAAGAACGAAAAGTTAAGCTCGGAGAAAGAAAGGGGGAGCTATGAAGCATAATAGATTTACCGCCACTAATTTGTTGCGGAACAATTGGAGGAACAAGTTATCAAATACACTGGGCTTGTATTCTGGAATTGTAGCTGCAGTTTTCGCATGTTCTGCCTGATTAATCCATATCGTGCATAAACCGATCAAATATTGATTAGAATAATAAATAATTTAAGGAATTTTGTAAACCGACAAAAAAAATAAAAGAAGCGCACTGTTCTAGATCCTGAAGAAGCGCGGGGAACACAAAAATGATGGCTTTGAAGGCGCTTGGGAAGGAAGAGGGAAGTCGGCGGCGGAAAAGAAGAATGGGTAGGGGCTCCAACAACTCCAAGCGGCTTCATTTCACTCCTCCACTATACGTGGACTAGTCTGCGCAATTGCAGAGGGCAGTTTCGCCAGATGGCCGCCGTCCGTACAATTTATCCAATAGGGCAATAGCAGCCTGTGATTCCGTGAAGTGATATAACAGTAATCCCCTAGTGCGGTCCTTCTTCAACCATACCATTGTATATTATTAAATTAAAATTATTGTAAAGTAAAAAAAATAGAAAAATCAATAATCCATCGTTCCCTGTAAAAATTATCGAACGCACCCCTATATTATACTTTTTGCCAGAACTTCCCCATATTTTTTAATTGGTCTGCATTTTATCAATTTAATATTTTATTGTCTACGGTTCCCTCCAGAATTAGTAAAGCTAAAGTTAATTTCAATTTTCATAGCCAAAAAATTTAATTATAGTTTTTATGGATGAAACTTCAGATGAATTTAATGTCAAACTTGTTAAGATTACCTTATGCCTGAATAAGCACTTACAGATTATTGACCAATGTGATTTTCGTATCGGTAAGAAAATTAGAACCTAGAAGCATGCATCACATCTTTACCATCTAGACCATCTTTCATCATCTTATATTCATATCAAGTCATCAATCTCCATGGCTCTGAAATGAAGTCTTCCGCTGCTGTTTATCGTGCCTAAAGACAAACGGTCCTGCAGATTATAATTTACTGGGCACAAGTTGGAACACCGTGATGCTGATTAGGAACTAACTTTTCTAACACTGCCTGGATTAAACCCAAATTAATGTTTTAATTAAACTAAACAAATGGAATAAAGTGAACGCACTAAACAATACAATCATAGGCAGTACAGCCTTCAATGAATAGTACAACACCAAACTCCTGCAGCCTGGGCTATGTTTAAAGCTCCTCCATAGGTGTAAAAGGGACATTCTTGGGTCTCAAAAGTACATGATAACCCAAAAACACAGTTGCGCATAGTGCTGCAACTGATAAGAATAGAGAAAATGCATTGGCAGCGCTCCATGAACTAGTTGCCGCTGAGTTGCCAAGTAAAGAACTTCCTGAAGATATTCCAAAGGGCACCCAGTCGCAGTCAACAGAATAATGCCCAGAACCATGCCATGGTTGATCATCAACTGGATACCAGAATGCAACAGACATCTTGCTGGATCCACCAATGGTGAATTGTGCATCCTACAACCACCAGGTAATGTAGACCATTTTACTTAGCTGTTACCACGTAGAAAGAATTCAGAAGCATTTAGTAATAAGAAAAAACCGGTAGGTTTTGAACAACCTCAATAATGCTAATTGCCGTGAGAGAACATTTTATGATGCCGCTTGTGGCACACCAATGCCACGGCTCAAGTGACACCTCTGTGGCATCTTTTTCGGAGATAATTAGCAGGAGATTTGATATACGTAAGTTCAATCCCTACTTTGCCCGCTTACTCTCTTCCTCGTCCTAACTCTGTCTTTCCTTTGTAACATAAAAGAAAATCATTCTACCCAACAAAAGTTACAAAAATATTTAGACATATCCTGGACTCTTCCTCTCTAGGATCAGAAGACATAGCATCGACCCAAAACCATCTTTGGGAGCAACAGTTTGCATGTAATCAGATCCCCCTAGGAACAGTGGCGGAGCCATCACCCAGAGTTAGGAGGTTCAAGATAATTTAGTTTAAAAATTAATAAAAATTTTTAAAAAATAATATAATTACACAAGGAATAATTGTAATAACATAAGTCAATTAATCGTCATTTTAAAATAAAAATTGTATTGAACAGATTAAAATAGTCTTTTTATGCAAAACACATTCTTCATATCTTATATCTATTATTAAAATATTATATATCTAATAAGTTTTTTAGACCAAATATTTTTTATTCAGTCCAGAGAGTGCAAAATCTCAAGATTAGAGGGTGCAAAGTTGTAAAATTTATATACACAACTCATAACTTTTCCAAAAGTGAGAGGAAGCATTTGCACACCCTCACCAATGAATAGCTCCGCCACTACCGTGGAAAAAATTTGCCGAATCACTACATCAACAACCATCAAGTCAAGCTCAATACCATTGTGGAAATCATCTAACCAAATCATCAAATAAATCCACCTTATTTTAGTATAGCTTGGTTACATCAAGCAAGAGGAAACTCCTTTTCCAACAGCCCTTCTAAGAAAAGCCAGAAGTGAAAAGCTAATAATTTCGTGCCCCTTACAAAATTTTACCAGCAAGGATAGAAAACATTCAAAAGATGCCCCCTACAAAAATTGTTTAATCATAGACCTCCCTTCAATGATATCAACTAAGCACTTAGCATGGTGATGTTGACAAAACTGATCAATGATAGAGTTCAAACAGTAGGTCAAGAAAAATCCACCTGACTTGACAAGAAATCCAGACATAAATAGGGAGGCAACTTATGGAACCGTGTTCAGTTATCAACGAACACAATATCTGGACAAGTACATATAAACTTCTGAAAGCAGCATGAGAGTTTCTAACCTGTTGAAGATGATCCATGGTTCTCAAGGGCCTTGAGAATTCAAAAAAGTATGTGCCCTTTTTTCCATTTTCAGCATATGGACTCTCATCCTCAATAAAACCTGCTATGAACAAGCATAAAAGTTTGTTAATTTATGCCACACAGACATAAAGTAGCTAGACAACAAGGTAAAAAGAGGAGAGACCAATACAAGGCAACATGTGTGAGCAGATAAAAGCCAAAATATACTTTATCGTAGAAAAATAACTAACTTTTTTTTGGGGGGTGAACAATTATCCTTTACAGATCAACTCAGAGGACTTTCTGACTTAGTGGGGATTAATTCTACTAACTTTTGACATATAATTCATAAAAGCAACTGGCAATGAAGTGTTGACAAATAATCTTTATGCCACACAACTACGAACCATTCAATTTGTGTGTGGGGGGGCATATACTTGTAAAAAGTAAATTGTTTTTTAGGACGTCTTTCAGTCTCAAGGCTGAACTAAGCTTGAAACTATTGTTAATTAATAGAAAGGTATACATACATTAAGTCTGGAAAGGGGTTAGTCACCTGAGTGAACTGTGAAGCTGCTGTGCCACCAAGCACCCTTCCAATCATTCTGTGCACTAGAATCATTTACTGGCAATGGAAAAAATATACTTTAACATAACCTTGAAGTGGGTAAATTCTGTGAGAGATACCAAATAATACTTCATTTTAGATACTTTAATACTTTAACATAACATTGAAGTGGGTAAATTCTTTGAGAGATACCAAATAATACTTCATTTTTAGAAAACGTATCTCCTAAACTTTTAATTCCATGTAATTCATTTTTTGTTGAAACCATAAATTTAATTTATTCTAAATTAAAAAAGGTGACTGTTTTATATTGTGAAAAGCATATTTAAAATGCTTGTTATATAAGAAATAAATATAAGGGTATCCTAGTCAAAATAGATGCCGTTGTTGTAGAAGAAGACATTAAGGCACATCTTATTTCAGTGAAAAAGCGTGTAATTTTTCAAAAGAAAATAGAGCCTTGTAATTTGTGCACCTCGATAAGAATCAGATGGAGGTTGAAGACAGAACGAGATATGCCCACACAAAGTTATCAAATTCACATTTTAAAAAATAAATACGTAATTCACTGGTGTAAAGTTTTTCCCTTTTCTGGCATCCACCTCAGAAAGAGATTTACCAAGTAAACACCCAGATCTAAAACACAAGAATCCCCACCCATTTGGTTCCTGTGTATGGACCTAACATTCATAAACCAACAAGGTGTCCAACAATATTGTGGGGAAAGATACTTTTCAAGAATTCTTGACAGATAATCATGATTCTCGTAGGAATCATAGCAGGGAGCTACTGATTGTAACCATATTTATTTTCTTTCTCAGAAAATTTAAATATCGCTTTGGGGTTTCAATTTTTACACAAGTGAAAGCAATTTCCCCCTCAAGAGAAAGTAAGTATTCTTGAGATGATAAAGACGGCAACCATGGTGAGGTATGAATAGCCTTTCTTGCCAATTTCTAAACCATGTCATTTTCAATTTCTTTATGTGTTGACTTTAAGGGCTTCTAAGTTGTCCATGTGATCCTGGAAATGAAAAATCTTAAATTTATCATGCCATCTCCTGAACAAATGCCTCAATAAATTTTAAACTATTGACACCATACATTTGCCAGCATCTAATAATTACTTAATCTTGGTGGGATCCTCTTTCCTCTAGTAAGTGGCATCAGTTTTAAATTGGAATAGGTGGGACATAAATTTTTTTTTTTTTCCAGAACCTCAAGGAAAGAAATTAACTAGTATGTGGAGTTAGAAATAATGGCAGGACCAGGTGAAAGAAAATAATGGACAGGTAAACTAAAGTTCTGTGCATCAAAAAATATATTAAGGAAAACAAGATTTTGAAAGGAAAATGACAAACAAAATATCCACATGACAATAAAACTTTTTTCCACAAATCAAATATTTCAATGGCAGGACCAGGTGAAAGAAAATAATAGACAGGTAAACTCAAATTCTGTACATCAGAAAATATATTAAGGAAAATGACAAAGAATATAATCAAACATAACATCCAAAGGACAATAAAACTTTTTTCCACAAGAGGAAAGGAATGTTTGTCTGGGAGAGTGGAAAGTAATACGAGATGGAATAACAGAAAACAAAGCATAAATAATTTGTGCATAGCCCATTATATTCTTGATATTATTACTTAACTGTTTCTGTCCCTTTCCATTATTTTTTTAGGTTCATTTCCCACTCCTTTTCCTATCCCTTTTGTCTGTCAATCCTTAAACACTGTGCATATCAAACATAAATAAAAGACATATATAAACGAATACGCTGCTTCAGTTGTTCAGGAGGAAGCAGGTTAAAAGCAAATGATGTTTCGGTGCGCATAAGTGTGCCATGCATGAAACAGTCAAACGACTTCAATCTACTCTCAAGTCAGTAGAGAAATATAGTAAGGTAGTTAAAAGGTTTACAATACAGAAGTAGCTTTTGAGTTTTAAAAGTTCTTCGGAGGAACCCATGACGTTACACTATTCCCTGGATTAATATCACGTGGCTGTCATTATTGCCTCATTCACTTTTCTCTCTTTAACCATAAAAATTACATAGTTCTTATTTGAAATATGGTATCCATGTATACCTGACCCTGAAGGACCAAATCCATCTAAGTATCTACAGTGGGGATTCCAGGCATAAAGGTCCACCAAATGGCCAAACCTGTAAAGATGAACATAGACAATTGAATTAACACGTCTATTATAATAACTGCTCTATAACAGACAATCTCATTTGAATTTAATACTCAAAAGTGAAAGTCGCTAAAATTTTGCAGTTTATCACCTGTCACCCCCGTTTCCATCCCTGTTGTCTACATGATTCCCGCCATATAGCCTACCCGGAATAGCATTGCCGATGGAGAAGTGCATAATGTCTACTTCATGACCTTTGCAGGTTTTGTTTGTACAAGAGGTTGAATGTTCTTCACAGCCACCCATCTTATAAAATTGACACAAATCTATCATTTAACATTTTATTATGATTTTTAACGTGCTTAAAAATAGATTGAGGGCGACAAGAACTGCAAAAAATTTGAGACATTTTAAATTAACTAGACCGGTAGTAAGTGGATTTTCTTACATTATGATAAGAGGCGCCATCCCCAATTTGAAACATGAGAGCAACAGATGGACATTTATTGCTATTTCTGCATTGACAAAAATATATCAACTGAACAAAAGCTTGTCATAATTGAGAAATAAGGAACCTAGTAGATGTGAAGATAATGAAACATACTCTCTATTTCAATCATTTTAGACCGCAATAACACGAGCATAAAAGAACTATTAGGAAGACATCGTTATAACATTCAAACATGCTAAGTACGTTAGCACTGAGCAAATAAATACAACTTGTTGACTTGAATACAGTTTCCTAGCACGCCATGGCTTACCCTTTAGAATAAGCATAGACACCATCAACTTGAAGCAGAAAGAAAACATCGCGACCGTCATGCAGAGTCTGAAATACACCGCAATCATGGCGTGAAAACATAGCAAATAAATGATGAAGATGATTACGATGATTCCATACATACATATATATATATGGGTATAGATAATATCATCAGGTTGGATGAGAAATATGAAGAGTACCTTAACAGTCATCTTCCCGCCTTTGTACTCTTTGTCAGCATCTGGGTCAAGAGCGGGGAGAAGAGAGAAGTCGGAGCCATCAATGTCCTTCCAATCGTCGGCATGGCCATCTAGAGAAACAAGTCCAGGTTTAAAGTCGGCCTGGAGTCGGATCTCCGAGTTAGAATCGCAGCTCCATGGACCTGACTCTTCGTGTGAGTCGACCACTCCGATTGAGACGAAGGCCAAGAAAAGTATAAGAAAAAGCGTGTGAAGCATTGTGAGTTAAAACCAAGAGGCTTCCAGGATTTGGTGAGGAACGGGGAAATCGGTTCATCTGTTCTCTCGTATTTGAGGTTGACCCGCCATCCGTGTCACAGTCCCAACCAGGAAGGCTCGCGCTTTTTTCCTCCTTTCTGCTTGTTTCTTTTCTTTTTCTTTTTTTTTATTCAAAAGTGTTTGGTTTGAAGGGAGGAGAGGGGAGGGGGAGGAGAGGGAGGGAAGGAGAGGGGTCCTCCCCCCGTCATTTGGTTAGGAGGGGTCCCCTCCCCTCCAAAGCCTCCCCTCCAAATTGGGGGGGCTCCCTCCCCTTCCCTTTCTACCCTTTTCCTTGAACCAAACACACTCTATCGATTAAATTGCATGAAATGCATACTGAATAAAAAAAGAAGATGTAGGGATGGCATTGACATGCACTCATCGATCAAATTCATTTAGGAGAAATTGTACTTTAAGTTTCAGTTTGACAAACGTTTGTTGAAAATTAATAATAAGGGCAAAATTATTCCAACTTTAATTGTTTATGTTTAAAATGCATCTTTTTAAAAGTTTAGGGTTCAAATCATTTTTAGACCTATAATTCAAGGTCCAAATTACATATTAATATTTTTTTTCTATTTTAAAAATGCACTCTAATCAATGATAAGTCAACAATAACAAAAAAAGTATTTTTTGCATATAATATCAAATTTTAAAAAGATTTTGAAGGAGTGTATAAATTTCTTTGTTTAAATTAATCGATAAAGGTAAAAATTTATAAAACTGAACTAAATACTTTTATAATAAATAAAGAGATAGAGAAAAAAGTGTACAAAGAGAAATTTATTCTGAATTTTTTCCTAATAAAGAATGATAATTTTTTTACCAATATTATTATGAGATTTCATTATGCTAAAAAACAAACAGGAAAAGATATAAAAGTGCACTCACAACAAAAGATTATGTTACTTTCATATTACTGCCACTGATAGCTTATCAAAACACCATCCAGCAAGAACAAAAATAATTAACTCGACACCATCTCATTCATATCCACCATAATCCCTACAAAAAATAATTTTACTCATAATTACAATTTACAGCCTTCTTTTACATTGTTTCATCACCATCTTTGTCATCATTATTTACCTTTTTAATTCCTTCTTCCCATATCTTGAAAAATTTGTAATATTACCACAAGTTAATATGCAATTTAAACCCTCAACTATATATTTTAAGGCAATTTAAACTCTAAACTTTTAAAAAAGTGTATTATGAATCCTAAACAATTAAAGTTCAAACAATTTTGCCCCTACCATTAACTTTCAAACAAACATACATTTTTTAGACGTAAACAATAATCTCAAATAAATTAATTACTAATAGGTGTTGTAAATTTGACTGACCACTTCTAAGTTTCATGAATAATTTGTGATAAAACATTCAAATGGGGAGAATTTCAATTTAAAATTAGAGATGTGATATTATTCTGAAATAAACCCAATAAATTTTGAAAATTCATTTAAGAATTGATGCATTAAATTGAAAATAAGTTTTGAAGAGAAAAGAACATAATATCCTTTAAATATTACTCTCTCCATCCTAAATTATAAAATATTTTTGAAGAAGATTTGTTGTTCCACACAAAATCATTGAACTTCATAAAGAAAAACATATCATCAAACTCCACATAAATCATATAATTGAACTTCACAAACATTATTTCATAAGACTCCATAAAAATTACATCATTTTTCTCCACAAACAATATTTCATATAACTCCACAAACTATATTTTTGAACTCCACAAAATCATAATATTTGATTTTTAAATATTTTATGCCACGCTTGCATTTTAATTAATTTTGCAACCTTCCATTATAATGTATAAATTAATAAATTAATTAATACACAAAAGTACAAGAGAGATTTTTTCCAATTACCTCAAACCTTTGAGAAATCAAAGGCTTACTCCTCAAATATATACTTTCAAAGCTTTTACAAAACTTAAATGGTACCAAATATGATCACTTTACATTTAATCACAATATCAATCATTAATATCCCTTTTAGATAATTTTAAATATCTATTTCTACACTTCAACACCCTGACAATTCAATCTCCCTGTATACAAAGGTACCTATAGGGTTTAATAACTTTCTCTGACTCATATTGACTTCATCTACCTTTCAACTAATCATTAATGGCTTCACATTACCCCAACCACCATATATATGGTGAAATTTTAAGTATTTATTACCCTTTAGCTACCAAAACCCACATTGCCATCATTTTTAAGTTTAAATAGCCTAAATAACTCTATTTAAGTCAATAGGTTTAGACTCATAACCTTTATGAACCAAAAATTATATTTTCTAATAAACCCTAACCTCCATATTTAAGAAAATAGAAGAGGAAGAGAGGTTAATGCTTAAGAGAATTACCTATGGTGTTTAAAAGCTTCAAAACACTCATAAAGCTTCTAAATCCTAAGCCCTAGTAAAGCTTTCTTAATTTTCTCCTTCCTTCTTACTCAACTCTCTTTCTTGTTCCTATGTTTTTAATATCAAGCTTTTGTCTAATAAATTAAAAATTTGTCCATGCGTCGTGGCACCTGCACTACACACCATTGCATTTGGTACAGAGAAGCACGTTCCACATTCTAATGACTTGTGCATCGCGATATGCCATGCATGCACTGCGACATGTGGCACGTAGCCATTTCTAGTCGGAGTTTGATGGACTTAGGATGAGTTTGAGATAAAGTTCTTTGATTTCTACTTTCAGATGGCCTTTGGAGCAAAGAAGGAGGTAAAGTTTCATGAGTTCGAACAAAGGAACTTAAATGAAAAAGCTTTTATCTCCAAGTTGAAGCAACTTCCTAAATACTCCACCTACCTCGTGGAGAAGTATGACTCCAGGTAGGAGGTAGAAAGGTTATTGGAGAAGATGAAACCAAAGTATAAGCAACAATTGACCTTATTTGAAATCACATCTCATGATGAAATATGCTAGAAGCTGAGGATTGCTACAAGAAGAAGAATAAACATAAATAGTGAGAAGAGAAAAGATAGCTGGGGTAGATTTTCTTAGTCACTTGGCACCGTCGATGGGATTGGTATAACCTCCCTGAGGTTAAACCACCATTTACTCTAAATCATAGTTATCTGAGGTTTTAGAAAGAGAATTTTTCAAAATTATTTCATAGGAATCCCAATTTATCATTTCAAATCCCTAAAATAATTTAAGGACTCAAAATCAGAGTTTTAAAAATAAAGCGTAAGCTTAGAAAGCAATTGAGACCCATAAAAATGAGTTTAAAATCTCAAAAATATGTTCTGTATAGAAAATGACACATGCACCGTGGCTTACGGCTCATGCACCGCGACGTGTCTTCTCTGTGTCATGCACCGCTGTGCATTACATGAAATTTGACAGATCAGTGCTGTCATTTGATAGCACAGGGAGCGGACTTCTGATGCATCCCAAATCTTTGTTCGATATCTGATTGAGGTAGTTTCGGTGTCTACATGGAGCTTTCTCTTAGCTCTAGTTAATAACATAAGTTTCATATTCAAACTCATTTTCTATAGAAAGTTGAACACCAAAACCCATTTTTACCATTTTTTCACAAAATCTCCTAAATAGGATATCCCAACTCAACCACATGTGCTAATAGCCTATATAAACCATTCGACCACACTCAATAGACTCTTACGGACTCGTACAACACACCACACATAATCGAACATGCTTATTTCACAAAATCATTATTCAACCTCAATTTTCACAAAATATAGAGGGGGAGGAAAAGTTGCACAAAATCAACCATTTCATTCTTATTTCTCAAAAATACATATGTTCTTATTTGCACAAGTATTTTAGCCTTACCCACGAGTTCACAACAAAACTCATTAACCCAGGGCACAACATACACTAGTTAAATACAAAATCATGCAAGTAGTGTACCAATTATGACAATTAACACTAGTTGGCAAAAACATTAACAAATACACATAAAAATAACTATAAAGAGGCATAAAGAGGATTACTCCACCGATCATAAGCCTTAATATGTTTTTCCTGACTTGGAACCAATGAGCTAATCCTTGAAAATATTTAGAATTGAGGGGTAAGTACAACCACTTAGTAACTAAGTTTCACTTAACTCTTGCAATTACATATTAATTATACATGGATGTAATTAGATAAATAAATACATATATCACATACCACTAAGCCATAATTCATAAAACTAACAACCATGTGACCGAGTTTGCCACAAAACACCATATCATGATATTTTCAAAAACATTACTTGGGGTCACAAAAATAACAACCATGCGTCCTTAACACGTACCAGACCACAAAATTAACAACCATGCGGCCAGACTTATATGCATGATTATATGTCAACCTTATATCATCCTATTACCTCCGACATGAAATCGGTGGCTATCGCACAGCTACATCCTTCACGGGCTAACTTAGCTTTTCATTTGTGAGAAGCTATCAGATCAGGGTTAACTCACTCACTTATGTATCCGGTTTCCCCTAATATTAAAAACTATGGGCTGTCGTACCCCTAATCTAGCTTCCTCATAAACTAATGGAGACTAGTTAGGTTTGAATCCCTCATAAAATAAGTGGAATAGTCCTAAATCAACTATGGGATAAGGGCTACCTCTCAATTTCAACGGTTGGTGCCAAGGCTAGTTCCCGATTCCAACGGTCACTGTCAATATCACGTGGATTTTCAACCAATCTACTCCTCTCCATAGGTGAACTCCCGCCAATAGTTATTCTATATATATTTCACACATAATATGCATTTCAACAATCATTTCTCAACATATGAATTTACATAACACATATGCTCATTATTAACTCATATTTCATCATAATTCTTCACCCATAGTAATAAATCACAATTAATTTCATAAAATATCAAGGATGGTAGAATCAAGGTTTTCTTTCAAAAGAAACCATTTCACAAATCAACACTTTACCAATGTATCATCAAT